AGCGGATTTGCTCTTGCCGCATCCAGTGCATCCGCCCCCGCCTGAAGGTAGGGTCGTCCTCCATTAACTTGGAAACACGGATATCTTTGGTGACCCCGCCGTTTCCATCGTTTGTCACATTCCCTTTTGCTTCCACCACGCTGGAAAGATGAGGCTCTTCCATCTTTGGTGACGCCGTGGCCACCTGAGCTTTGGGTTCCTGCGAGGCCATCAAGGGCAACACCTTCTCCATTTTGAGCATTTTGTTTCGGAGGACTTTGATCTCCTCGTCCTTCATGTTGTTTTGTTTCTTCACTTCTTGTAAAATGTCTTCGAGTTTGTCGATGTGCACCTTGAGGTCGTCCACGTCGGCAATGCCCTTCCCATTGAGGAGAACGTCTTCTAACTTCTCGTCGCCGACCCCGACGGTGTCCCAGACGTCTCGAGCGACGGCACGCCAGGAATCGCGTTCGTTGGGGTCCTTCTTCCCATACAGAGAGCAGAGCTCTTTCATTTTGACAATGGCCAAGGCCTCGATCTCCTGCCGCGTGTGCCGGAAGTCGTTGAGGGCAACCTCGTAGCAGATCTCCTTCACGGCCTGGATCTTCAAGTCGGAGACCGTGACCCAGCGGGAGTCTTTGCTAAGGCGCCGCCGCTGAGGGATCTGATACATTTTGATGGGTTCTCGCTTCTTGCCGCTGCTGGGGAGGCCGCATTTTTTGACAATGGTTTGCAACTTGCTGGGGGGCAGCTTCTCCCTCAGGGAAGTGATCAGTCTCCAGCTCTCTTCGCAAGACCGCTTGTCCGAATCATCCCCACTATCAGAGTCTGCGTCCTTTGGAAAACAGAAAAATCGAGAAGTGGCCCCAAAATAACTAAAATTAAAACGTAGGGAAATGAAAAGAAATACTCAACAAATGGAAAATATAAATAATAAAAAGAAGCACAACTGAAAGCTAAGGAAACTAAAGAATCAAACAGAACTTAAGATTCTAGACTCTTTCTCTTTGGGGTCCTTAAGGTTTTCTTTAATCCATCCATACTTAACTTTCATGCAACGATTCCGATTGGATGTAGCATAATCCATATGAGACTGTGAGACGAAACAAAAGCGAGTACCTGGTAGGAAGGTGGAAGGAATACTCGACTCGTGCTACAAAGGCGTGCAAGAAACCCAGCCACACATTATTATTATTATTTTGCCTTGGTTACTTCTCGCATGACTCCAGCACAACAAAGTCTTCCCTCCGTAGTGAGTGAACCCAACACTCAATGCAGGTTAAACCACATGAACACTGGTTAGTAACACGTGGTGCAGGAATGTTCGGGTTTTATGGTCCGTTCTACTAGGAAAGCAGCCAAAAGAAGGGTTAGAAGGTCAGAGAGAGACACAGTCAGAAACAGCCACTAGGAAAGTGTTAGAAGGAGTGAGAATGTTTAAGGTTGCTATAAAGCTATAGGACGAACCAAGGCATTTTCTAGTGCATCTTCCTAATGCTGCGACCCCTTAATACAGTTCCTCGTGTTGTGGTGACCCCTACAAATGATCAACCACTGCCTGAAGCGCCAAAGAGTTTCATCTATGCTGACGATCGTGCCATCACCACCCAAGCAGGGAGATTTGAAATGCTTGAACAGAAGCTCTCCAAAAGTCTAGATCAGTGTTTCTCAACCTCTCGAATGCCGCAACCCCTGAATACAGTTCCTCACGTTATGGTGACCCTCACCATAACATTATTTTCGTTGCGACTTCCATAACTGTAATTTTGCTACTGTTATGAATCGTCATGTAAATATCTGATATGCAGGGTGGATTTTCATTCACTGGACCACATTTGGCACAAATACCCATTCAACTTTGAATACTGGTAAGGTTGGGGGGGTGTGATTTTGTCATTTGGGAGTTGTAGTTGCTGGGATTTATAGTTCACCTACAATCAAAGAGCATTCTGAACTCCACCAATGATGGAACTGAACCAAACTGGGCACACAGGAATTCCCATGAACAACAGTAAATACTGGAAGGGTTTGGTGGGCATTGACCTTGAGTTTGGGAGTTGTAGTTCACCTCCATCCAGAGAGCACTGTGGACTCAAACAATGATGGATCTGGACCTAACTTGGCACGAATACTCAATACGCCCAAATGTGAACACTTATTTATTATTTATTTACCACATTTGTATACCGCCTTTATCAGCCCAAAAGCGACTCAAGGCGTTTCACAGTCAGCAACACTTGTGGAGTTTGGAAATACAGACATTGACATTTGGGAGTTGTAGTTTCTGGGACTTATAGTTCACCTACTATCAGAGCATTCGGAATACTACCAACGATAGAATTGGGCCAAACTTCCCACATAGAACCCCCATGCCTTGAAGGGTCACGCTGGCACGAGCCTCCCTCCAGCCTTGCACGCTCTCCCTCGCCAACATATGTGCACCACGCTGCCATGCGCCAAGAATGCCTACTCTCCCCTCAATGCTTGGAGTTTCAGAAACTAATATTATATTGGGTTGTTGTAGGTTTTTTTCGGGCTATATGGCCATGGTCTAGAGGCATTCTCTCCTGACGTTTCACCTGCATCTATGGCAAGCATCCTCAGAGGTAGTGAGGCAGTTCCAACAGACCTCACTACCTCTGAGGATGCTTGCCATAGATGCAGGTGAAACGTCAGGAGAGAATGCCTCTAGAACATGGCCATATAGCCCGAAAAAACCTACAACAACCCAGTGATTCTGGCCATGAAAGCCTTCAACAATACATTAATAATATATTATTATTATTAGTATTATATTGTATTATAAATATTATATGTATATACAATATATTATATTACATGTAAAAGACGAAAGATTGATACGATCTGAAGAGAAACCAGCATATGCCGAACTACGAGACAGATAATTACACCCAATATTGTCCATCTGCAGGTCCTGCAACAGAAGTGATCTTCTGACATTCCTCTTGCAAGGTCAGGAAAGATCCACCATAATCAGAGTAAGCCTTTTTATTCTGAAAGCCTTCAAGAAAAGAGCACATTTCCTGGATAAAGAACCAGGAAAATAAAACTCTGACTGTGAATAGAGGGTCAGCTGCTGTCCTCACCTTTTTGCCTTGTCTTTTACTCATTTTGTATTTTGAAATGGTCATATGACTGATCAAATAAATAAATAATTATATTATGACATGTAGATGTGGGTGAAACGTCAGGAGAAAATGCTTCTGGAACATTGCCACACTGCCCGGAAAACTCACAGCAACCCAGCTTCCCTGATCTAATTCAGTTTCTGATTGACTTGGGGAATGACGACAGGAAGCTAACTCAAAAAGTGGGGGAACCGCATAGAAGGCCTGATTCCGACCCACTTTCCAGGACACACCAGGTCCCAATTAGTTCCCAGTCTGCTCTCCAGATTAGCCGCTAATCCTACATAACCACCTCTATGCCAGGTCAAACCAAATCTGGGGCATTCAATTAATACCCATCGAATTAATCCACTGGCCCTGCTTGCTCTGCATTCCTAAGTGTTTGTTTGTATATTATTATCCAAGCATCTCTCTCCTGCTTTTTTTTTTTTTTTTTTGGCTTGGCTCCTCAAGTCCTCTTCCAATCAGAGAGGGACTTCCTCCAGCTCTTGCTTTCATCTGGAGCTCTTCCATAGCCCAGAATATAGTAATATTCATTTGTGGGATTAACATAACTCAAAAACCACTGGACGAATTGATAGGAAATTTGGACACTACACCCCTAACAGACCAACAAGTGACCATCACTCATAACCCCCCCCCCCAAAAAAAACAAGGAAAGGACTTAAAACCCCAAAAAGCTAGATGAAAGCAAATACAGACAAAGGGAAGAACGGGGGTAATGAATTTACAGGAGAGGGAAGAGATAGGAAAAGAAGAAGAGAGAAAGAGGGAGGGAAAGAAGAAGAGAAAGGAAGGAAGGAAGGAAGAGGTGAGAAAAGAAAAAGAGAAAGGAGGGAGAAAAAAGGAGGGAGGAAGGGAAGGAAGGAGAGAAGGAAGAAAAGGAAGAGAGAAAAGAAGGAAAGAGAGAAGGAGAGGAAGGAAAGAGGTGGAGAAGGAAGAAAAAGAAGAGAGGGAAGAAAAAGGGGGAGGAAAGAGGTGAAGAGAAGGAGAGAAGGAAAGAAAAGGGAAAGAAGGACAGAAAGAGAGAAGGAAAGAAGGAAAGTGGTGGAGAAGGAAGGAAGGAGAGAAAGAAAGAAAAAAAGGAAAGAAGGAGAGAAAGAGAGAAGGAAGGAAAGAGGTGGAGAAGGAAGGAAGGAGAGAAGGAAAGAAAAAAAGGGAAAGAAGGAGAGAAAGGAAGGAAAGATGTAGAGAAGGAAGGAGAAGGAAAGAAAAAGGGAAGAGAGAAGAAAAAAGAGAAAGGGAGAGAAGTGAAGGAAGGAGGGAAGGAAGGAAGGAGGGAAAGAAGGGAAGAAAGAAGGAGGGAAGACTGGCCCAGCAACGCGTGACGGGTACAGCTAGTAAATAATTAATTAATAAATAATATGCACCATCATGATCATCCTTTGCTAATATTTCGGACCATGCAGGGCAGAGGGGTTAAGTAAGACATGCAGAGTTGCAGCAATCCTTTTTAAAGACATCACAGGTGAGAAAACTTTGGGCACGTCGAGGTGCCGCCTCGGAAACACAGAATTAGTACTTGGTGATCATCCAAAACCAAACCAAGGCAAACCTCCTCCATGGCAATCCTTAAGTAGAAAGACCACACGGAGGAGAAAGGGAAGGGAGGAACATCATACAACACACAACTTGACTTGCCAGAAAACTAAGCCTGCCACTATTTCTCCCCATTGACCATCCTGACTGTGGATTTAAAGGAGCCAAAGAACAAAATATCTGGCTAACATCTTCTGTGTCATGGGATCTGCCCACTTAAGAGCCAAAAAATAGGGCCCTAAAAAGGACATGAGATTCTGACCAGCAATATGAATGTATCTCCTGTCCTCGAGCCAGAAAGTGAGATTCGCAAAGACAAATATGGATACCTACCAGTCTCTGTTGCTCCAGTAAGAGATCGGCTTCTTCTTTTTCCTTCTTGTACAGAATCTCCATTTCTTGAAGTCTGGAGAAAGGAAAGGAGAAGTCAGGAATCACAGTTTTGGGGAAATGGAAATCATCATCTTTTTGGAAAATGGAATGAATTACCATTTTGGAAAACCAGGAATCTCCTGGAGAAGAGTCAAAAACTCTCGAGTCAACCTTCTCCTTAGTGGTAAATATCCAGTAGCATTGATGCCAGGCAATTAGGTTTCTCAGCTGTTAAACTGATATACCTAGATAGACCTTGCCTCCAGCACTGTGCTAATAATATAATATAATATAATATAATATAATATAATATAATATAATATAATATAATATAATATAATATAATATAATATAATATATACATATACATATACATATACATATACATATACATATAATATTGATAATATTATAATGTGATACAATATAATACTAATAATAATGATAAAACTCCATCTGTGGTCATATTTGGGCATATTCGTATGAGTATTTGTGCCAAGTTTGGTCCAGATCCTTCATTATTTGAGTCCACAGTGTTCTCTGGATGGAGGTGAACTACAATTCCAAAACTCAAGGTCAATGTCCACCAAACCCTTCCAATATTTTCTGTTGGTCATAGGAGTTCTGTGTGCCAAGTTTGGTTCAATTCCATCGTTGGTGGAGTTCAGAATGCTCTTTGATTGTAGGTGAACTATAAATCCCAGCAACTACAACTCCCAAATGACAAAATCAATTTTTTGAGTGATGGTCACTCCTTGGGTTAGTCGGTGACTTGTGGCCAAATTTAGTGGCAATTCCTCCAGTGGATTTTGAGTTATGATGTCACTCGAAACACAGAGCATTTTTGTCTGGTTTGCCTACTCTGGAACACGCAACATATAATTGTCCTTCTTTAGGGGTCCCTTTCAAATCTATGGTACTATATCTGTCATAAACATGTGTGTGTGTGTGTGTGAATCATATATATTTATTTATATCTATGGCTGGATGGCTCTTTGTAAGGAGGGCTTTATGTTTTCTTGCTCTTGTGAAGGGAGTTAGACTGGATGGTCTTAAGACAGCATTTCTCAACCTGGGGTTTAGGGCCCCTGGGGGGGGGTTGCGAGGGGGCATCAGAAGAGTTACCAAAGACCACCAGAAAACACAGTATATTCTGTGGGTCATGAGGGTTCTGTGTGGGTTTAGGGGGCTGTTTTTTAATTCTGGGAGTTGTAGTTCACCAACACCAAAAAGGAAGAGAAGGACAAGTGGAGAGATCTTCAGCGTTCTCTGCCAAAAGGGTTCCTAAGACCATCAGAAATATTGTTGTGCCTCAGCTGGAGCCTCAGGAAGAAGATGATGGGTTTCAGATTCCTGAACATGTTCCTGTTGTTGATACAGACAATGTTGATACTGAAGACGAGGAGTTTCAGTTTCCCATGGCAAAGGATGTTGTTGTGGTTCAACAGGCTCCTGAGCGGCCTGAGCCTGATGGTTTTCAGTTTTCACAGTTTTCTCAGCCTGCTTCTGAGATGGAGAAGCAGTTCTCACAGGACAGGAATGCAGCTGATAAGGAGGAGGGCCAGGTGCTGCTTCAAAGGGATAACGAAACCGTGAGACGGAGCTTTCGGATCGCAGCCAAGTTAGTTCAGCGTCAGGTCAAGGGAGCCGTGAGAAAGTAGACTGTGGGAAGCTAGATTGTTTTGATGTGCAAAATGTATTTAGGGCTTCCACGGGCAATTCTTAGCTGTCAGTTTCAACGTGGCTATCTGCTAGCTGTTTCATGCTCCTGCATTGAGGCTGGAAAGCCTGGGTTTCTTTGTGCTGCTTTTGGGCTAAGCTGCTGGGCACAGGGTTTGTGCTTCCTGCTTCATGATTCCTGTTTACCTTGATTTTCTCGTAAGTATTTCTGGAACTGTACCATGCATTTTACCTGAACTTTGGATCTTTGTATTGACTTAACCTTTGCCTTCTTTTGGAAACTTTACAATAAACTATAAATTCCTACAGCCGTGGTCTGGTGGTGTTTGAGAGCAAGGTGAAGCTTAACCTGAGGTGCCACAGATGTTTTGGAAGATGTTTCTGATCTTAGTGAAACTTCCCAGATGCAGGTGGAAGAGGCGAGCTCTCAGCCTGCCGATTCTCAGGGTAATGAGCTCTCCGACCTCGAAGGCTCTGCAGATTTAGATAGGGAGCATCGCTTGCAATTCAAGGTTCGCCACAATGCAAGGCTTGCTAACAAGAGGGAGGTCAGAGGTCAATGGAATGGGTTCAGGCTGGGAAAGTATATTAAACAAGCTGTTTGAAGCCAACTCTTTGTCAGTGCAACTTCTGCAAACACCCTGATAACTTCTCTGGAGTGCCTTGGCTTTTGGGCAATGCTTTCGGCTTCCTGGGACTTTGTCTTGTTCTTGGCTCCTTGGGACTCTGTCATGCCGCCATGGAATCTTGTTTCATCAATGCCTTTGGATTATGCTTCATGTTATTTGCCACTGAACTTTGGAAACCCCGCCTTTGCATTGAAGACTCTGCCTTTGAACTTTTGAAACTTTACTTTTCTGTTAAAGACTTTGTTTTTCTTCAATAAACTACAAAACCTTCAGCTTTGGTGTGGTGTGGTGTTCTGAGCAAGGCAAATCTATCCTGAGTTGCAACAAATACGTATTTTCTGATGGTCTTTGCTGATTTCTCTTACACTCTACTCATGACTCCCGCCCCCCTGTCCCTGGTACCGAGTCCTAGGTTGAAAAATAAATATAGAACACGACAGAAACAGAGCACAACGATCATTCTCTCAATATCATATAAAATACGTTACCGTTTTTCCATTTCTTGCTTCATGTCAATTCCTTGTTTCTCCAGCAATTCCCTCTGGGCAAAAGTCCAGTCCACTGGCTCCGACGGAGTCTCTGCAGACGGAGTCTTCTCCCTTTCGGCCCGAGCTTGTTCGGGGTGGTTGAAACGGAAGACGTGGTTTTTGCCCATAATAATACGATTGCCTGGATGGGAAATAAAAAGGCGATGGCAGAACTCAGGAGAACTTTTTAACTCTTTCCAGCAATGGACTCCAAAGCTGGACTCTCACCTGAGCGTAGCTGAACTGGCTGCACCACCCTCTTGCCATTGACATAGGTTTCGGATCGTTCACACGGCTCCAGCGTTACGATAACTAGGAGAGGAAAGAGCCTCGAGTCAGTAAAGAAGAAAAGGAAGGAAATAAAACTGTTGTACTCCAAGGCTGGGAATTGCTTCTGTACTTAAGACACAATCCAGTTCAAGATAAAATAGCAAAGTGGTTTATTGAAGAACTAGCCGACCCCTGCCATGTGTTGCTGTGGCCCAGTCTTTTGCTATGTGTTTCAGTGTCTTGTGTCCAAATTTGGTGTCAATTCGTCCAGTGGTTTTTGAGTTATGTTAATCCCACAAACTGTTGTTAGTGGGGTTCAGATTGTAGGTGTACTATAAATCCCAGTAACTACAACTCCCAAATGTCAAGGTCTATTTCCCCCAAACACCATCAGTGTTCACATTTGGGCATATTGAGTATTTGTGCCAAGTTTAATCCAGAACCATCATTGTTTGAGTCCACAGTGCTCTCTATATAGTTTTGAGAGATACTTTTGCTTGAAACAATGGGAGTTGGCAGGAGTCGAAGTGCTAACATGGCAACACTACAGGGCAAAGAGGTCACGATATTGAAGCAGGAAGCTCACCGTTGCCATTATTGTTCCTCTCGCTCCGGAATATGCAGTGCTCTTCCTTGATGTGGGCCCCGCTCAGCACAATGTCTTGACGCCGTTCTGCATCAGCCTGGCCTACCCTGCATTCAACAAAGAGGGTTTCCAACATTTTAAAAACAAGGATACGAATCTACAATGAACTGGATTCAGCACAGAGGGAGAAAATAATAATAATAATAATAATAATAATAATAATAACAACAATTATTACAACAACGAAATCCAGCATATATATCTCATATGCTGTGACATACTGTGTTTTTGTGTCAATAATAATAACAATTATTATTATTATTATTATTATTATTTTATTCTTGTGTTGTTGAAGGCTTCCATGGCCGGAATCATTGATTTGCTATGAGATTTCCAGGCTGTATGGTCATGTGTCTATGTATGTATGTATGCATGTGTATATTTGTGTGTGCATGTATATATGTATATATGTGTGTGTATGCAGATGTATGTGTGTATATATTTGTGTGTGCTTGGGTATGTATGTATGTGTGTGTATATATATATATATATATATATACACACACACACACACACACACACACACACAYACAYACATAYGTGTATGTATGTGTACGTGTGTGTGTGTGTGTATGTRTATATATATATTAGCCATTCCCTGCCACACGTTGCTGTGGCCCACTCTGGTGGTCATGGGGGTTCTGTGTGGGAGGTTTGGCCCAATTCTATTGTTGGTGGGGTTCAGAATGCACTGTGATTGTAGGTGAACTTCAAATCCCAGCAACTACAACTCCCCAATGTCAAGATTCTATTTTCCCCAAATTCCACCAGTGTTCACATTTGGGCATATTGAGTATTTGTGTAGAGTATGGTCCAGATCCATCATTGTCCCCAAATTCCATTGTTGGGGTTCAGAATGCTCTTTGATTGTAGGTGAACTATAAATCCCAGCAACTACAGCTCCCAAATGAAAAAATCATTTTTTTTAGTGAAGGGCATACATTGGGTTGTTAGGTGTCTTGTGTCCAAATTTGGTGTCAATTCGTCAAGTGGTTTTTGAGTTCTGTTAATCCCACAAACGAACATTACATTTTTATTTATATAGATTATTATTATTATTATTATTATTATTATTATTATTATCCTGACACACACTACTGTCTGAAGTAATACCACCCCTTACCTGGTTATACCATCTTTGATGTAGTAAAGGAGGCACTCCGACATGAGGGGGTCTTCATTGAGGTTGACAAGATGAGGAGTCTGAAAAGAGAATGGCAATTTTTGTAAACAGGAGATCTTTTCTCCCAGAATCACAAAAGGGAACCAAGGCATTCAGAGGCTCCAGGTCTCTCCTTTTCCTCCCAGGAAAAAAATGCCTCTTGAATAAACAAACATGATTCCAGCATAGAATGAACCCAAATTCACCATATATTCCAGTAGAAGAGGAAGTACATTCCTCTATATGTTTTGGGACTTTAATTCTTATCTATCCTATGCAGAGAGTAAAGATAGGGGAGCTGCAGTATAACAACACACAGTCAAAAATGTAATCGTGATCGGCAACTGGGAACACTCACTTGGAGTCAATTTATTTATTTATCATGTCAGAAGCAAATTGAGGGTACAGTTGTCTGTTCAGCACCTTCCAAGGTGCTCAGTCTCTCATCTAGTATCAGCCACTGATTGATGTTCCGGGTTTTCGCCTGCCACTTTTGGACTCTCGCTTGCTGAGATGTTCCTGTGAGTATCTCTATGGATCTTAGGAAGCTGTTTCTTGATCTAAGGCATTGGCATGCTGGCTGATATCCGAACAGGGGATGGGCCAGAGATGTCATTACAAGCTGCTGCTTCCCGGTGGATGTCAGGTGGTGCAATACCAGCTAAACAGTATAGTTTCTCCAGTGGTGTAGGGCGTAGACGTTCTGTGATAATGTGGCATGTCTTTAAGAGCCACATCCACTGTTTTAACGTGGTACGATGCATTTCACACCGGCCATTCATACTCAGCAGCAGAGAAGCAAAGCACAAGGGCAGATGTCTTCACTGTGTCTGGTTGTGATCCCCAGGTTGTGCCAGTCAACTTTCGTATGATATTATTTCAAGCGCCCACTTTTCGCTTGAAGCAGTGCTTCTTGTAAGTTCAGAGTGACTCCCAGGTATTTGGGTGTAGTCAAGCAGTGCTTCTTGACACCTGTGTTTTTCCCTGTAATAGGCAGTAAGAACACCTAAAGCTTCGGAGAGCTTCTGTTCAACCATTTCGAAGCTCCCTGCTTGAGGGGTGATGGCACGATCATTAGCATAGATGAAACTTTCTGTCCCTCCTGACAGCAGCTGATCAGCTTTCATATATTATTTCTAACACCCAGTTTTGCTTGATAGTCAAGTAGTGCTTCTTGTAAGTCAGCACACGGTTCAGAGTGACTTCTAGGTATTTGGGTGTGCTGCAATGCTCCATTGAGATTCCTTCCCAGGTGATCCTCAGAGCTCAAGATGCCTGTCTGTTCTTAAGGTGAAAAGCACACGTCTGCATTTTAGATGAATTAGGAATCATATGGTTTTCCCTGTAATAGGCAGTAAGATCACCTAAAGCTTTGGAGAGCTTCTGTTCAACCATTTCAAAGCTCCCTGCTTGGGCGGTGATGGGATGATCGTCAGCATAGATGAAACTTTCTGTCCCTTCTGGCAGTGGCTGATCATTTGTGTAAATGTTAAACATTGATGGTGCAACCTGGTTTCCCCTGTAATAAGCAGTAAGAGTACCTAAATCTTCGGAGAGCTTCTGTTCAACCATTTCAAAGCTCCCTGCTTGGGTGGTGATGGCACGATCGTCAGCATAGATGAAACTCTGTGTCCCTTCTGGCAGTGGCTGAACATTTGTGTAAATGTTGAACAATGATGGCACAAGCTGGTTTTCTCTGTAGTAGGCAGTAAGAGTACCTAAAGCTTCGGAGAGCTTCTGTTCAACTATTTCAAAGCTCCCTGCTTGAGCGGTGATGGCATGATCGTCAGCATAGATTAAAGTCTCTGTTCCTTCTGGCAGTGGCTGGTAATCCTAAGAGCTCGAGATGCTTGACTGTTCTTAAGGTGGAAAGCACACGTCTGCGTTTTAGATGGAATAGGAAGTATGTCAATATGTCCACATCACAGGCCTCCAAAACCTAGGAAAGGAAAATCTAGAGTTCTAAGGAGGGAACTATTTACATGTAGGAAACACGCTCAATCAAGCCTAGAGCTACCACAATCACTAAACCAACCTTCTTTGGTGAAAAGACACCACTGGAATCGGCAAACAAGTCACAGGGCCTTGGAGTAAAAATCTAGCCAATGGAATGATGGCAGGAATAGATGAGAGGAAAAGCACAGCATCAGAACAAAACCAAAAGGTAAATGGAGTTGATACTCATGGCAGGGGACCTTTCAATATGTCAGATCAAGAAATTGTCAATTAGGGGAGAGAATAGAAAGCTAGAAGATGTGTTGTCGAAGGCTTTCATGGCTGGAATCACTGGGTTGCTGTGAGTTTTCCAGGCTGTATGGCCATGTTCCAGAAGCATTCTCCCCTGACATTTCACCCGCATGTAATGCTTTCCTTTTGGTTTTGGGATCTGGAAATTATATTCATTGATGGGAAAGAGTTGCCTCAGTTGGGTCAACGTTGGAATTTCATGACTATCTTGCTTTCCAGTGTTCTTAGTTTCATGTACCAAGTTTTTGCCAAGCTCCTGATTTGAGTATTTGGATTTTTCATGCTGCCTGGTTTCATGGATTCTTGCGTCTCGTTTCATGGATTTTTATACCTATGAATGCTGCTTTTCCTTGAAGCTCATGGACTATCCTTTGTTTTGGAACTTTACTTAACAGGAAGACATTGGTTATTATATGTTTGTAATGGTTTTTGTATTGTATTGATTTTATATTGATTTTATAATGCTGTTTTAAATGTTTTAATTGTATACTAGCCATCCCCTGCCACACACTGCTGTGGCCCAGTCTGTGTATATGTGTTTTGGGTATATATGTGTGTATATATTTGTGTATATGCGTGTGTTTGTGTATATATGTGCGTGTGGTTTTGCACATGCACTGTAGCATCTTTTTGCTTTTTTTGGATTTTTAAGTCCTTTCCACTGGGTTTTCCAGTGTTTTTATGAGTGATAGTCACTCGTTGGCCTGATAGGTGTCTTGTGTCCAAATTTGGTGTCAATTCATCCAGTGGTTTTTATGCTAATCCCACAAATGAACATTACATTTTTATTTATATAGATTGTGGATTGTTACGGCATCAAATTGCTGCCAATTTGTAAGCCGCCTTGAGGCATCTTCAGGCTTGAGAAAGGCAAGATAGAAATATCATTAATAATAATAATAATAATAATAATAATAATGTCTTTGCTAATTTGCTAATAATACTGTATTCTCAAGCCTTTGGGCTTGAGAAAGGCAAGATAGAAATATCTTTAATAATAATAATAATAATAATAATACTGCATTTGCTAATCTAATAATACTGGATTCTCAAGACTTCAAGCTTGAGAAAGGCAAAATAGAAATATCTTAAATAATAACAACAATAACAATAACAACAACAACAACAACAATAATAATACTGTCTTTGCTAATTTGCTAATAATACTGTATTCTCAAGCCTTCGGGCTTGAGAAAGGCAAGATAGAAATATATTTAATAATAATAATAATAATAATAATAATAATAATAATACTGTATTTGCTAATTTGCTAATAATACTGTATTCTCAAGCCTTCGGGCTTGAGAAAAGAAAGACAGAAATATATTTAATAATAATAATAATAATAATAATAATAATAATAATAATAATAATAATAATACTGTATTTGCTAATTTTACTGCTTTGCCTTCATATAAACTGCTTGCCGATTTTGCCAAGCTGGTATGGTGTTTCAGGTCATAGGGGTTCCTGCCTGGTGTATGACAACTCCACAGATATGTAACCCCCACATCCTAGTTTCCAACAGACCTCACAAACTCTGAAAATGCCTGCCATAGATGTGGGCAAAAAGTCAGGAGAGAATGCTTCTGGAACATGGCCAGACAGCCCAGGAAACTCACAGCAACCCAAAGCTAGAAGGACTCCAAGGAACAGAGAACTGAAATAAATAAATAAGGGAAAGGGAAATCAGAGGCTGCAAAAGCGAGCACCTCTTAAAGCAAACCCAAGATGATCTCAACCACTAAATTAAGCCTTTTGGGTGAAAATGCCCCAGTGGCATCAGTAAACATGCAGTGAAAATCTAGCCAAGGGAATGGCAGTGAGGAAAAGAACAGAAATGAAAAAAAAAACAAACAGCTGAACATCAGCACTTAAGACTTATGCCAATAACTCTGGCTCACGAACTAAGGTTGTAGTATATCTGCCGCTATATATTGCACAATACAAAGCTATGGGAATTTCAAGGGACAGAGGGCTAAAGAAGAAGGGAAAAGGGTAGCGAAGCCCAGGAAGACAGTTCCATCTTGTCTCCTGTGTTATACTAATAATATAATATAATATAATATAATATAATATAATATAATATACTGTATATACATATAATATTTATAATATTATAATGTAATACAATATAATACTACTACTAATAATAATATGATATTATAATTATATACTGTATATACGCAAGTATAAGCCTCGTTTTTCAGCCCCTTTTTTAGGCTGAAAAAGCTCCCCTCGGCTTATACTCGAGTCAAGGTTATTTATTCTTTTACTCTGTTATTAATATAATTTTATTATATTTATTATTTTATTCTATTATTATTATATTTACATTATTTTGCTCTATTATTCTATTTATTATTTTGTGCTATTACTATTATTACATTTACAGTATTTTACCCTATTATTATTACATTTATTATTTTAATCTATTTTTTATTATTATTATTATTATTATTACATTTACAGTATTTTACCCTATTATTACTACATTTATTATTTTACTCTATTATTACTGTTTTTACTGCATTTTTATTATTTTACTCCGGTGGCGCAGTGGGTTAAACCCCTGTGCCGGCAGGACTGAAGACCAACAGGTCGCAGGTTCGAATCCGGTGAGGCGGATGAGCTCCCTTGATCAGCTCCAGCTCTTCATGCGGGGACATGACAGAAGCCTCCCACAAGGATGATAAAAGCAGCAAATCATCCGGGCGTCCCCTGGACAACGTCCTTGCAGATGGCCAATTCTCTCATACCAGAAGCGACTTGCAGTTTCTCAAGTCGCTCCTGACATGATAAAAAAAATAATTATTTTGCTCTATTATTCTATTTATTATTTTGTTCTATTATTATTATTACATTTACAGTATTTTACCCTATTGTTATTATTACATTTATTATGTTAATCTATTTATTATTATCATTACATTTACAGTATTTTACCCTATTATTACTACATTTATTATTTTACTCTATTATTACTGTTTTATTGCATTTTCATTATTTTACTCTATTATTTTTATTATTTTAATAATAAGTACATTTAAATTGAAGGAAGTTAGAATAATGGTTTAATAAGAGTTGGACAGTCTTATCTTAAATTACAGTTTTATGTAAATATCCAGAAACATTTAGCCTATTAATGCCCAATTAATATAATTTTATTGGTATCTATTTTTATTTTGAAATTGACCCATAGTGGATGCATTTCCCACCCTCGGCTTATACTCGAGTCAATACGTTTTCCCAGTTTTTTGTGATAAAATTAGGTGCCTCGGCTTATATTCGGGTCGGCTTATACTCGAGTATATACGGTATTTTATATTATAAGTAATGTTACTAATAATATTACAGTACAATGGTATAGTACAATAAAGTAATATATAATAATGATATTGTGCTATGCTAATAAAGTAATATATTGTATGTATATATATTTTGTAAGCCACTCTGAGTCGCCTTCGGGCATAGGAAGAAATAGAAATAAATAATCACAGGCTTTCAACTATCACCAGGATGATAGGTAAGGAAGAGGGACAAGGTCCTATTTTCTATTTGCGTACGCAAACATCTCTGCTGAAGCAGCCGTTTTCGGCACAAACCTGGTCCACGGCAAACACATCAAAAGCCTCGTCAAACAGAGTGGAGGAATTCCGAGGAAAGATCTTTACGGAGGAGACAAAGAGAAGGGAGGAAAGAGAGTGTATGGCAAGGCTTATGGGAAAAGAGATATACGTGACGGGGGTTTCGGTTCCCCAAAAGTAATCCGACCACAGTGGCCAAAAACGTGGTTCAAGCACAATGAAAAGGGGATCTGGACCAAGATATGAGGACATGGCAAAAGAAGGACTTGTCACCAGATATTCAGGAATCTCCTTATCATAACTCTTCCCATGAACCGTTCCAGAATGATTCTCTATTACTTCCGGTCACATTTTTTGAGATCCAATCCATTCATAGCACAGAACCCGCCTTGACACTCACTGATGCCAGTCTTGATAAAACTAGGAAACACTGCATACCTTTTTAGGTGAGAAGACGCCTAGCGTTCCTCCGTCTTCTCTTATGGCAACTCCCATCTCGGCCAGCAAGGCCTCCCTGCAGAGAAAAGAAGAAGAATTAACTGAAATATAATAATAATAATAGGATTTAAAGATCGAACTGCAAAGACTCTGGCACAAGCCAGTAAAAGTGGTCCCAATGGTGATCTGCACACTGGGTGCAGTGCCTAAAGACCTTGGCCTGCACTTAAACACAATCGGCGCTGACAAAATTACCATCTGCCACCTTACTGGGATCTGCACGCATTATTCGCCGATACATCACACAGTCCTAGACACTTGGGAAGTCTCCGACATGTGATCCAGTACAACAGCCAGTAGAGTGATCTTGTCTGCTGTGGACTCATCTTGTTGTGTTTCAAGTAATAATAATAATAATAATAATAATAATAATAATAATAATAATAATAATCGCCAGTACATCACATGGTCCTAGACACTTGGGAAGTGTCTGACGTGTGATCCAATACAACAGCCAGTAGAGTGATCTTGTCTGCTGTGGACTCATCTTGTTGTGTTTCTAATAATAATAATAATAATAATAATAATAATAATAATAATAATAATCATAATAATAATAGCCGATACGTCACACAGTCCTAGACACTTGGGAAGTGTCTGACCTGTGATCCAATACAACAGCCAGAAGAATGATCTTGTCTGCTGTGGACTCATCTTGTTGTGTTTCTAATAATAATAATAATAATAATAATAATAATAATAATAATAATAATAATAATAATAATAATAATAGCCGATACGTCACACAGTCCTAGACACTTGGGAAGTGCCCGATGTGTGATCCAATACAACAGCCAGCAGAGTGATCTTGTCTGCTGTGGACTCATCTTGTTGTGTTTCAATAATAATAATAATAATAATAATAATAATAATAATAATAATAATAGCCGATACATCACACAGTCTTAGACACTGGGAAGTATCCAATGTGTGATCCAATACAACAGCCAGCAGAGTGATCTTGTCTGCTGTGGACTCATCTTGCTGTGTTTCTAATAACAACAACAACAACTTCATTTATTCATGGGTAGCTCCCACCCAACCTTTCCTGAAGCCTTCAGAGCCCCCAAAGAGTTTGCTACATCACCCAACAACAGCTCTGTTGCTCTCACTTTTCTATTGCTAACTCCAGTATTTTCACATTACTGCCCACTTGTGTCTACATTTCAGTTAGGATTTACAATAAATGGTGTGTGATGATTTTGGGGGGGGGGGGTGCCTAACCTCTCCATCCTAATGGCCTCCGTCTTCCGCAGTTTCTCCTCCCATGTCTCATTCAGCTCCGCAATGATTTTCTCAGATTCCTGAAATAAAGAAAAATTGAATTAGTGGTTTATTTGCGGAGAGGGGGTGTCAAAACACATTGAATCCCATTACGATATTTGAAATGAGGAACCGATTTTATTTTTTTATTTTTGTCCAAAAGCCAATAGTGTTAAAATGGCAGCCAAAGAGGCTTAAACCCTGAAATCCTGGATCCATTTATCTGCCTGGTTTTCCAGTAAGGAAGTGCCACATGATCTGCTGCTAGGTTGGGGCTTTATAGGATATTCCAGGGACATTCACACCTTTAATCCTTTCATCTTGTCTCTATCCCTTCATCCTCCCATATAGTGTTTTGATCCATTGCTTGTCCAAACAGCAATTTCCCCATAATTTCCCGATTACAATCATTCAATTATATCAATATACCATCTGGATTTCCTGGGTCCTGTTTGAAGCTTTCGTTTGGTTCAATCAATCAAAATCCAAATACATCCAAATGCCATTTCTAATTCCTTCATCTAAGATGCTGTCTCTAAATATGCATTGCCCTGCTTGTGGCTCGACATTCCCAAGCCTTCCATTGATTCCCTTTTGCATATCTAAGGAAGTGATGGCCTGTTTTATTAGAATCCTAGAGTTGGAAGAGATCTCGTGGGCCATCCAGTCCAACCCCATTCTGCCAAGAAGCAAAAAATCACATTCAAAGCACCCCTGACAGATGGCCATCCAGCCTCTGCTTAAAAGCCTCCAAAGAAGGAGCCTCCACCACACTCCGGGGCAGAGAGTTCCACTGCTGAACAGCTCTCACAGTCAGGAAGTTCTTCTTGATGTTCAGGTGGAATTTCCTTTCCTGTAGTTTGAAGCCTAGTCTCCAGGGCAGCAGAAAACAAGCTTGCTCCCTCCTTCCGATGACATCCCCTCACATCTTGATCCATGGCCCTCATCATGTCTCTGCTCAGCCTTCCTTCTCCAAGCTAAACATGCCTAGCTCTTTAAGCCGCTCCTCATAGGGCTTGTGCTCCAGACCCTTGATCCTTTGAGTCGCCCTCCTCTGGACACATTCCAGCTTAGAGTCAACATCTCTCTTCAACTGCAGTGCCCAGAAATGGACACAGTGTTATTCTAGGTGTGGTCTGAGAAAGGCGGAATAGAGCATGGGTAGCATGACTTCCCTGGATCTAGACACTAGACTCCTATTTATGCTGCCCAATATTGTTGGGGCATGTAAGGGATCAGTTAACGTGTGTGTGTGTCAACTGTAAAATAAGATGCATGAAGCTGATTAGTTTGGCTGAGCCTGGGACTTTTGTATACTGTTACGTTTTTCAGGTGCTCAGAGAGAATATTGTTTTGCTTCTCTCCTTTAAACCGCCATTTGTTAGTGTTTGTGGTGTTTATTGCCCGATTCCTTCTAACACTAAGGAGACCGAGACTATTTTATTTAATCTAAATCTATTATTATACACAATTGCTATTTATTAAATCAAATTAAATCAAATCCTTGTTTCTTGTCTCAGAGAAAGCCAAGAAAGCTTTCCCGAATGGTCTCCTCATCCTCTCCCAGGAGGATTTTTCTAAAGCGTTCCCTTTGAGCCGCACGCCTGGCAACTCGTAAAACAAGGACCCCTTTGTCCCCCCAGCTACAAGGGTGGGGAGAAAGCCTTTCTCCCACTCTGGATGCCCCTTTGAATGGACAAACGAGAGGGTTGTTTCTCAGCCGTCTGACGGAGACGCACAAGAAGAGTGCGACAAGGGCCAAGGCAGCCAAGCAGAAGACAAAAGATCAAGGGAGGGAGGAAACGCTTGGTAGATGCTATGCCTGTTTCTGAATGTGACTGCACCACTTTGAACCGGATCATCCGACGGGCTCAGAGAGAGTGTTGTTATGCCTAGATCAACTTCAGGTTTTGGAAATATATTTCATCCAAACCATCCCAGCAAATTTTCTGATTAGTCCACAGAATGGTGAGGATGAGGAGAGAAAGGTGGCCACGAAAAAGGCACAAGGCAAGCAGCCCCTTCCTTTCTGAGCCCAACTCTGAGGGAGGCGGTAAAAGCCTTGGCAAAAGCCAAAAACTGACGTCCTCTTGTCACTTGTGTTCTTTTGATGCTCTTCAGCATGCAGATTTGACACAAAGGCCTTCATTGTCTCCAGATGTAACAGAGCATTGTGTATGCTTCACATCTGAATATCTGTAATTTGACTCTTGAAACGCTGCCTGAAATGGAATTGATGTGCAATGTCCAGCTAGTCCTGGACATAACCATTAAATAACCAGGGCTTCCAGCTAAGCCTGGACATAACCATGAAGTACTCAAGTCTTCGGGCTAAGCCTGGACATAACCATTAGGTGTTCAGTTCTTTCAGCTAAGCCTGGACATAACCATTGGGTGTTCGGGTCTTCCAGTTAAGTCTGGACATAACCATTAGATGTCCAGGTCTTCCAGCTAGGCATGGACATAACCATTAGATGTCCAGGTCTTCCAGCTAGGCGTGGACATAACCATTAAATGTCCAGGTCTTCCAGCTAGGCATGGACATAACCATTAGATGTCCAGGTCTTCCAGCTAGACCCGGACATAACCATTAATGTCCAGGTCTTCCAGCTAGACCCGGACATAACCATTAGATGTCCAGGTCTTCCACCTAGGCATGAACATAACCATTAGATGTCCAGGTCTTCCAGCTAGGCATGGACATAACCATTAGATGTCCAGGTCCTCCAACTAGGCGTAGACATAACCATTAGATGTCCAGGTCTTCCAGCTAGGCATGGGCATAACCATTAGATGTCCAGGTCTTCCAGTTAGGAATGAACATAACCATTAACTGTTCAGGCCTTCGAGCTAAGCCTGGAGTCCTGGACAAAACAATTAAAATTAAAATAAACTTCCATTTTCCTGTTAAACAGTCCCATTCCATTTATATTCCTACTTCAGAAAGAGGACAACCTTTACCATGACACAATAAAAGGCCACCTAAATAGGCAAGGATTGAAACTGTCAGAAATATTAAAAAATAACTAGGTATTTTTGATTACAAAAGTGTGAATCAAGTACTGAAAGAGTGAGTAGGCTGAAGCCTGTTGGAGTCAGTGGGCCAAAGCTGGTGTCGTCCTGAGGAGTGTGAGGTAAATCTCAGTGTGAGAGAAGCCTCGTGTGAGAAAGCTCCAGTGTGAAGGCTGGTGTGTGTAGAGCTACTGTGTATTTTTGATTACTAAAGTGTGAATCAAGCACTGAAAGAGTAGGCTGAAGCCTGTTAGTCAGTGGGCCAAAGTTGGTGTTGTCCTGAGGAGTGTGAGGTAAATCTCAGTGTCAGAGAAGCCTTGTGTGAGAAAGCTCCAGTGTTAAGGCTGCTGTGTGTAAAGCTACTGTGTTTTTGTTTATTTGTGTTATGAAAAACTTGTTCCTGCATATTATTTTACTACAAAGAAAAGCCTCCTATGGAAGAGATAACATTGGCCTGTGTGTTTTTGTTCTTTTTATCACTTTGGGCTACTGGTGCTGGGTCACGCTATTGCTGATAAATTACTCTGCTGTACGTTTATGGAGAGGGACTTTTGTTAGTAAGCCCACCCGCCCAACAGAAACTCGCATCTCACAAATGTGAAAGAGAGAGAAGGGAGGAAGATAAAGAAGTCCCTTATGATCTCCATACCTTCAAGCGTTCAATGGCTTCCTCTCCTCCGGGAGTGGACATGATCCGTTCTTGGATGCTGGAGACCGACGTCAAGCCCACCTGACTATTGAGAGAGCAGGAAGATGGGGACGTGGTGAGGGAGCCCATGGATGCTGTGGAAAAATGGCCAGGACGTTGATTCTCGGAGGCTAGCAAGTATCTGTGCTTATTGTTCTGAAAATCTTTCAGATCTGGGAGGGAGAGAGATAGAGACAGAGAGGAAGGAGGGAAGGCGGAAAGAGAAGGGCGGGAAAGGCAAGGAGAAAGGAGAAGAAGAAGAAGAAGAAGAAAGGGAAGGAAGAAGCAAAGGGAGAAGACACTGGTATAAGAGGAGAGCACACAAGCAGCAACAGAGACAGGTTAAGTAATACTAGATGGCAGTTCTGAAACACACTTCCTTCCATGCCTGAAGGTCAGCTAGGACAGGGTTGAGCTGGGGGCCTTCCTTGTAATTAATACCATTTTATGTAATAGCTACAACTGAACTAAGGGGCATTATGAATGTAGCGTGATGAAGAACAAGTTTGTCAGAAATATTAAAAATTAACTAGGTATTTTTAATTACAAGAATGTGAGTCAAGCACTGAAAGGATTAAATGGATACAATGACTCTGCAGTTCAATTATAAGCAGGTGTTTCTGTAGCTAAGTAATAGTCAGTGTGAGAGAGCCCTCAGTGGGAGAGGGCCTCAGTGGGAGAAAGGCCTCAGTGTGAGGTAGGCCTCAGTATGAGTAGGCCTGGTGTGTGAGAAGCTTTGGTGTGTCTGTGGCTTAGTAGCCTTCAGTCTCTGACAGGTCTCTGTGGGGAAAGTGACTCAGTGTGTTAGTAGGCCTCAGTGTGAGTGAGGCATCAGTCTGAGAGAGCCCTCAGAACCAGAAGGCCTCATGGGAGACTCAGTGTGTTAGTAGGCCTCAAAATGCAGAAGGCTTGTTGTGAGAAGCTTCGGTGAGAGGAAGCCCCAGGTTGAAGACTTTGTGTATAAAGCTCCAGTGTGGAGGCTGCTGAGTGTATAAAGCTACTTTTTGATGCTCCACTATAAAGGCTGCTGTGTGTAAAAAGCTCCTGTGTAACTTTGGTGTGAGAGGAGGCTCTGTGAGAGCAAAGTTATATATCTGCATGAGGAAGAAGCCCAGCTTGGAAGCAAAGATTCTTGTTTGGAATGAGGTAGGCCTCAGTATGAGTAGGTCTGGTGTGTGAGAAGCTTTGATGAGAGAAGCCCCAGGTCGGAGGCCATCATGTGTGGCGCCTGCTATGTTACTCAATATAAGCAGGTGTGTCTGTAGCTTAGTAGCCCTCAGTCTGAGAGAGCCCTCAGTGTGAGAGGGCCTCAGTGGGAGATAGGCCTCAGTGTGAGGTATGCCTCAGTATGAGTAGGCCTGGTGTATGAGAAGCTTTGGGGAGAGAAGCCCCAGGTCGGAGGCCATCATGTATAGAGCTTGCTATGTTACTCAATATAAGCAGGTGTGTCTGTAGCTTAGTAGCCCTCAGTCTGAGGGAGCCCTCAGTGTGAGAGGGCTTCAGTGGGAGATAGGCCTCGGTGTGAGATAGGCCTCAGTATGAGTAGGCCTGGTGTGTGAGAAGCTTGATGAGAGAAGCCCCAGGTCAGAGGTCATCATGTGTGGAGCCTGCTGTGTTACTCAATATAAGCAGGTGTGTCTATAGCTTAGTAGCCCTCAGTCTGAGAGAGCCCTCAGTGTGAGAGGGCCTCAGTGGGAGATAAGCCTCAGTGTGAGGTAGGCCTCAGTATGAGTAGGCCTGGTGTGTGAGAAGCTTTGATGAGAGAAGCCCCAGGTCGGAGGCCATCATGTGTGGCGCCTGCTGTGTTACTCAACTACAGAAACACAAATCTCCCAACTCAAGAACTATGCATTGACCTATGCTTAGAAAGGCTCAGGACCCAATGGAGGTGTGCATCTCCTAAGTGCCCAGACGTGATGTTTCACACATTGGTTTTAAAACTGCCATCTGCGAACACAGGAGAGAGCAAGGAGGATGGGGAGAAGTTAGGTCATGAAGGAGCCGTCGAGATGCGCTAAGCGGGCAGAGCAAGGATGGGGTTTTGCCAGGCGCTCCTCATGCAATTGCAAAAGAGAGGCTGAAACTTGCAACGATTGCCACGGCTGCTACACAATTTGCTCTTGGCATCAGTGCAGCCCCGCGGCTATGCATGCCTCGCTCTCAAGAGAGACGCCACAGCAATCAAGTCAGGGGTTAAAAGCTGCCAAAGCTGGAAGCGGCATTTGGAGGCAAGTATTATGGCCAGAAGCAGGAGCCGGACAAGAGAATGCCATGCTGCCATTTCACGGAAATCCCAGACAGACCTCTCTTTCACTTGGACTAATAAATCCTAATTAGCAGTCAAGTTTCAGACAGCGATACGCAACTATTCCACCTTGCTATGTGCGATTCACAGTGACCACGATGGGGAAATGAACTTTTCAAGGATCTGTTTTGCACACAATCTGTTCCCTTTAATGGTGTGGTTTTACTGCCAGCCAAAACAATATTGGAATTTACTGTTTTGACTATTGCTGTACCGTACTTGACATTAAGTCTAGCTTAGTACATGATTGGAGACTGAAACAAGATACTACTACTATTGTTGTATTTATTCAATTGTAAAATGCACTTCCCCCCTATTTATTACATTTATTATTTTACCCTATTATTATTACATTTATTATTTTACTCTCTTATTATTACATTTATTATTTTACTTTATTATTAATAATGATTATTACTACATGTATTATTCTACTGTTTTTTGTTATTATTACATTTATTATTTTACTCTATTATTACTGTCATTATTAAAAGGTAAAGGTTTTCCCCTGACATTAAGTCTAGTCATGTCTGACCCTGGGGGTTGGTGCTCATCTCCATTTCTAAGCCAAACAGTTGGCGTTGTCTGTAGACACCTCCAAGGTCATGTGGCTGGCATGACTGCATGGAGCACCGTTACCTTCCCACCAGAGCAGTACGTATTGATCTACTCACATTTGAATGTTTTGGCAGGTGCTGGGGCTAACAGTGGAAATTCACCCTGCTCCCCAGATTCGAATTGCTGACCCTTCAATCAGCAAGTTCAGCAGCTCAGCGGTTTAACCCGCTGCGCCACCAGGAGCGCCCACTATTGCAGTACATTCTGTAATAATAGTAATAATAATAATAATAATAATAATAATAATAATAATAATAACTAGCCTCTCCTGCCATGCCTTGCTGTGGCCCGCTCTGGTGGTCATGGGGGTTCTCTGTGGGAGGTTTGGCCCAATGCTATCATTGGTGGGGTTCAGAATGCTCTGTGATTGTAGGTGAACTATAAATCCCAGCAACTACAACTCCCAAATGCCAAGATTCTATTTTCCCCAAACTCCACCAGTGTTCACATTTGGGCATATTGAGTATTCGTGTAGAGTTTGGTCCAGATCCATCATTGTTTGAGTCCACAGTGCTCTCTGGATGTAGGTGAACTACAACTCCCATACTCAAGGTCAATGCCAACCAAACCCTTCTGGTGTTTTCTGTTGGTCATGGGAGTCCTTTGTGCTATGTTTGGCCCAATTTAATCATTGGTGGAGTTCAGAATGCTCTTTGATTGTAGGTGAACTATAAATCCCAGCAACTACAATTCCCAAATGCCAAAAATCTTTTTTTTTTTAGTGAAGGACATACACTGGGTTGTTAGGTGTCTTGTGACCAAATGTGATGTCAATTCGTCCAGTGGTTTTTCAGTTCTGTTAATCCCACAAACAAACATTACATTTTTATTTATATAGATGATAATAATAATAATCACTTTATTTATATTTCAACCTATCTTCCCTAGGGGACTCAAGGTGGATCACAGTACACATACACAACAATTCTGCATAGACTGGACACAGACAGAACCGAAAGGAGGTATGTTGTGTCAACGTCCAGCTTTTTTGGCGCCTTGGAGGTTGTGCTCGAATCGAGTCACAGGGGGGTGCTGTTGCTCCATCCTCTATGACAAAAAGCCATCAGGACTTCCTCCTTCCTTTTGTCGCTGGCATTTTCTGACCTTTTTTTATGGTGTCGTAAAATACCTCCCCTGCTTAGCGGTACCCAATTTCTCTAATTACAGCTAATTATTGCTTAGGTCAGGGGTTCACAAGCTTTTTAAACAGAGGGCCAGGTCATAGTCCCTCAAACTGTTGGAGGGCTGGATTATAATTTGAAAAAAAAATGAATTAATTCATATGTACAGTGCACGTATCATATTTGTAGTGCAAAAAAACACTATCGAACAATACAATAATTAAAGTGAAGAACAATTTTAACAAATATAAACTTATTAGTATTTCATTGGGAAGTGTTGGCCTGCTTTTCACTGATGAGATAGGATTGTTGTTGTGTGCTTTCAAATCATTTCAGACTTAGGTTGACCCTGGGCGAGGGCCGGGTAAATGACCTTGGAGGACCATATTCGGCCCCCGGGCCGTGGTTTAAGGACCCCTGACTTAGGTAAACAGTGAACTGGGCTCACAATCGGGTGCTCACGCAGACCCGGGGTTTCGAACTGGCAACCTTTTGGTTGGTAGATCTTATAATTGCTCGTGATTGACCAGCTGTGCTAAAGCCCAGCCAACAAAACCTCTCGAGTGGATTAGGCTTTATGGAACTTTCTTGGACCCGCAAAGCTTGAACAGAAGGTTCTGTCTGAGATTTCGCATCGAGAAAAAGGCACGAAAAGGTCCGCTTGAAAAGCTGACCCAGCAGAAGGCAACGTGAGAAGGGCTACAAGCGACCCCCCAATACACACATTTGCCTCCACTTTCCGGGAAATCCTCGAAGGGGTCAACTTGAAGGAAGAAGTTTAAAGAAGGAAGGTACAAGAAGGGCAAAAATGTTCAGGATCAATAGTTGACAGAGGAAAGGAAGAAAAGTCCTCATTCTGGATACATTTCCCCCCCTAAAAAATCAGATTCTCAACTGTACACAACAAGTAGATCTAACAAATCGCAACACCGCAGATCAAATCCTGTTTGTCCCGAACGAGGGAGTCTCTTTCTTTCATCCGGCTGTTCTTTTCAGGGCAAAAGCGCACCGTGCATACAAATGACATTCTTTCAAAAACAATAATTAAGGCAGGAATGTGGTGGCCAAATTCAATCCAAAATCCACTCTTCATTTCAGAAAATTCAGAATATATTAACATATATAGAAAAAGCACACTATATAAGAAAGGCAGTTATATTTACAGTTTTACAGAAGTCCTCTGTTGTGCTAAGATGATATTAAAATAATGTATAAATATTAAAATAATATTAATATCAATATAGCATCCCTACTTTGCGGATTTTCACTTGTGGTCCTGGAACGTAACATCCGCGATAAGTGAGGGAGCTCTGTTGCAAATAGCAACCTTACAAACTTCCACTGTTTGCAAACGTGCATAATTGTTAACCTATATTGTATGTATGTTTTGTTTTGCCAACTTGACCGTACAGTGTTCCCTCACTTCTCGCAGGTGTTACCCTATATGGCTCCGATCCAGCATACCTGTCCGAACATATCTCCTTCTACGTCCCACCTCGAAGCTTAAGATCCTCTGGGGAGGCTCTGCTCTCGACCCCGCTATTGTCTCAAATACGTTTGGCAGGGAAGAAGGACAGGGCCTTCTTGGTGGTAGCCCCCCGCCTGTGGAATACGCTTCCCGGGGAAATTAGATCATCGTCATCCCTCCTTACCTTCAGAAAGAAGGTAAAATCGAGGTTGTGGGACCAGGCCTTCGAGCAGTCAGGTTAAAGAACAATGGATAATATTTGACTATGGTTAGGTGCTTCCAGGAAGGGCCTTCCACCCCCTTCTCCCAAATTTTTTTGCAGCTGGCACATTGGCCATGCTGGCTGGCATAATATGGGACCTGTAGTCCAACAATAACTTTCCCACGATATAGCCAAAACCACAGCTTTCTCCAAATAGACACAACTTCTCCAAGAATCCAGCTAATACAGCTATCGTATTACACGGTGCTTTCCACCCATGTTTACCCACCCTGAGTGCTTTTTAAAATAGAAACTACATATCCGTACTGGTAGTCCACCAGGGTGCAAAGCTACTTGAATTTGGCAGGGATTCTGATACCACGAACTGTGGCTTAATCCATTTCTGCCTCTCTCTCTTTTTCTCTCACGCCTTCAAATCTGCCCAAGAGCCTGGTTTTTCGCTCAGCTCTGAAGCCAGGGTAAGACATTTATCTCCGCCAGCAAGGCCAAGACACGACGGGGTTTAATCTACTTACTGTCAATAATATCGCCAAGCCCTTGAGCGCGGAGAAGGTCCTTGAGCCGGGTGACTTCCTCCTTCAGCTCCCGCACTAATTTGGCATTGGGGTCCTCATTGATAACAGCATTGCATTTGATCTGCTTTGCCCGGTCGGCGTATCTGGAGAGAGAAAGGACACAAGGGTGTTATAAATAATTTCAATAACTTATTTTTATTGCAATTTTCCAGTAAGAGAAAGGGTATCAGAGCTTTTCCACATTTCCACAAAGAACGACATTGGACATACAGATTGTGTGTGACTACATTGAATCCACAAACAATATGTTTACATTATCGGAGACATTTGCTCTTAAAATTAAAGTAATGTTTACAAGGTTCCTTACGTTAAGAAGGAAGCCAACACAAGGCTCCTTACGTTTCCCAACACCAATTACGCAACAGAGGTCCTCCTGGTCGACTGTAAGCCGGATCGGGGTATAGAGTGGCAACCTGTGCTTGATGGGGTTGCACTCCTCCTGAAGGCTCAGGTCCGCAGCTTGGGTGTCCTCCTAAACTCATTGCTAAAGCTTGAAGCTCAGGCGTCGGCAGTGGCTGGGGGGGCCTTCGCACAACTAAGACTCGTGCGCCAGCTGCGACCGTACCTCGTGAAGTCTGATCTGGCCAGGGTGGTCCACGCCTTAGTCACCTCCAGATTGGACTACTGTAATTCACTCTACGTGGGGCTGTCCTTGAAGACGGCTTGGAAATTTCCATTGGTCCAGCGGGCGGCAGCCATGTTACTTACTGGGGCGACTTACAGAGAGCCATCAACCCCCCTGTTTAAGGAGCTCAATTGGCTGCTGTTCATTTTCTGATCCCAATTCAAGGTGCAGGTTCTGACCTACAAAGCCCTGAACGGTTTGGGACCCGCCTACCTGCGTGACCGCATTTCTGTGTACGAACCCACACGATCGCTTCGATCATCTGGAGAGGCCCTGCTCTCACTCCCAACTCCCTCGCAGGCATGATTGGTGGGGACGAGGGAGAGGGCCTTCTCCATGGTGGCCCCTTGACTCTGGAACTCACTCCCCAAGGATATCAGACAAGCCCCCACATTGGCAGTCTTTAGGAGGATCCTGAAAGCGTGGCTGTTCCAGTGTGCCTTCCCTGAATAAAGGAAACAATCCCCTGCAAATACTCTGAGAAGCACTTTAATTACCCGTTGGATTGCTCTTAAAACCCTCCTAATAGATACATCCTCTGTCCAGCATTTATTTTTAAAGTTTTAACTATTATATCTGGCCCATCCATAGGTTTTTAAATTCTTGTGTGTTATTGTCTATTTGTGAGTTATATTAATTGTATTGTTTATTTTGTTTATTGCTTGTTGTTTTATTATTGCTTCTTGTTTTTGATGTGTTGTTGGGCTTGGCCTCATGTAAGCTGCTCCGAGTCCCTTGGGGAGATGGTGGCGGGGTATAAATAAAGATTATTATTATTATTATTACGTCAACATTGGCTAACAAACAAAGGGGAATTACATTTTTACTCAGCATTCACATTACACATATACACATTCATTCAGCATCATGCAAACATCACCATTTCCTCTCTCCTTCCTTGAAGAGACACCTGCTTAGGCCAGACCCTGCTTTCCCTGCAGCCTGTCAACACACAGTTCCAAAACTTCCAAAATGCCATCATCATCATCATCATCATCAAACTTTATTTATACCCCACCACCATATCCCCAAGTGGACTCGGGGCAGCTTACGTGAGGCCAAGCCCAACAATACAACAATGCAAATAAACAACATACAACGGCAGTAAAATATATATAAATAAAAAAACACAATATAAATAAACATCAACAATATAAAAATCACAATAATTAAACAAGAAAATAAATCACAGTGGGCAAGACCGATAGCAAGGATTAAAATTTAAAAAACACTGGATGAGAAGGCAATGTATTATATCTGGCAGGGGATCAGAGGGACGAAGGTAGGGTTTAATTGCACTAGTAAGAAGAAAATAAAGTGCTTCCTCTTTCCCTAAGAACAATGCCAAGGATCAGTCCCCTGATTTCTCTACAGAAGAAACAGATTCCCTGCAACAAATGTATCATAACCCAAAAATCGCCCTCCTTTCTCTTCCTTTGAGAAAAGGAGGCAAGTGTCCAGAATCTTGCTTCCCCATAAGCAGATCTGACACTCCCAAAGGTACACCATCTCTCTCCTTCCCATGGAGCAGAGCATGGTGGGTGAACAGCACAGCTGTTTGTCACAAATTTGGAATGTAATGCAGTCTCTTATATAGCTGGTGTTGTTAATGATAGATATTTTTCTAGCCTGAAACACCCTAGCTTCATCTCAGTTCCTGGCAAACGTAAGGAGCCTTATGTTGACTTCCTTCTTAACGTAAGGAACGTTGTAAACATTTACTTAAAGAGTCATTGTCTCTGATAATGTAAACATTTTGTTTTCCTCCAAAAGTTAATCGGGTTTCTGGTCAGCAAATGTTGACAGATGCAAACAGATGTAAACATTCCTTTAATCACTGTCTGCCACAATTTTGGAATGTAATAAGGTCTCTTATATAACAATATATCTTGCTGGTGTTGTGAACATTAGATGTTTTTCCAGCCTGAAACATCCTGGTTTCATCTCAGTTCCTGGCAAATGCTGACTTCGCATAATTGGTGTTGGTAAACGTAAGGAGCCTTGTGTTGACTTCCTTCTTAGTGTAAGGAACCTTGTAAACATTTCCTTAACTTAAATAGCCATTAACTCCGAGATAATGTAAACATGTTGTTTTTCTCCAAAAGTTAACCCGGTTACTGGTCAGCAAATGTTGACAGATGTGAACATTTCTCTTATCACTGTCACAGTTGGGTTGTTGTAGGTTTTCCCGGCTATGTTCTAGAGGCATTTTCTCCTGACGTTTCGCCTGCATCTATGGCAAGCATCCTCAGAGGTAGTGAGGTCTGTTGGAACTAGGAAAATGGGTTTATATATCTGTGGAAAGACCAGGGTGGGGCAAAGGACTCTTGTCTGCTGGAGCTAGGTGTGAATGTTTCAACTGATCTTCTGAGGATGCTTTCCATAGATGCAGGCGAAACGTCAGGAGAAAATGCCTCTAGAACATGGCCATATAGCCTGGAAAACCTACAACAACCCAGTGATTCCGGCCATGAAAGCCTTCAACAATACACTGTCACAGTTCTTATCACAGTTTCAGCCATTTCAGTTCTCATTAGCAGGTCTTAATTACAACTCATCAAGCAGGTAGTTAAGGATTTACTCATTGCAGGCCTTAATCTTCAGAATGGTGTCTCCTAAATTATTAGTTCTCATTCATTCGTTCCTTTCATTCAGTTCATTCACATCCTACATATTAAATCCACATTTATCAAATCTGCATATTATATTTCTTCACAAGGGGAAATCTGAATCTGTTTCCCAATTCGTTCTTCAGCCACCATCTTTATGAGAAAGGGAAAATGCCAAAACTTTTACATCATTCTCATTACCTTAAAGTGCTTAAAGTTTCGTCATAGTTTATGTCCGCTGGACTCAAAGCAGCCACCATTGCAGTTCTTGAATTGCCACCTACAGAGGAGAAGCAGGTTCAATGTTAAACACAATGCTTTAGCCTTGGCTTCCTAAAGTCCAAAGGAACAAATGCATCAGGAATCCACAAGAATCCACATTAAGGGAGGCATTTCAAATGAGTACTGCATCTAAAACCCAATAATGTCAAAGAGAGGATTGATTTGAGGTTATATTTAGTGGAACGCAATCTGGGGAAATATATAATCGATGAAAACAATTAAGCGTGTTCTTTGCATCAGCCTACCTAGGTTTTCCCGAAGCAGCCAGGTCAAAACCGAATCCCTGTATGGAATAAAGTCCGTCTTCTTTTTCTTCTTACTCTGCAAAAGGTGATTTAGCACTTAAGAGAATGCCATCATAGAAAAAACCTGCATAACATTGTGTACCCCAACTTTTAGACTGAGAGCATTATGAACCATCCGGTCACTAAATAAATTGTACTTGCAGTCTACACATCCCACCCAGATATATCTCAAATGCATGTTGTATTTTTATGAGTTATGTCTTAATATACCTGCACTATAGCATGGGAAACCTTTGTACTTTAGTTGTATTTGTACTCAACCTGAGCCACCTTCAGTCCCATTTCAAGAGTGGACAGGCAAGCATGGAAATTCATTGACCAGGAGGGACAGAGACTTTTATCTATGCTGACGATTGTGCCATCACCACCCAAGCAGGGAGTTTGAAGTGGTTGAACAAAAGCTCTCTGAAGCTTTAGGTGCTCTTACTGCCGATTACAGGGGAAACTAGCTTTGCACCATCAATGTTTAACATTTACACAAATGGCCAGCTAATGCCAGAAGGGACAGAGAGTTTCATCTATGCTAACGATCGTGCCATCACTGCTCAAGCAGGGAACCTTGAAATGGTTGAACGTAAGTTCTCCAAAGCTTTAGGTACTCTTACTGCCTATTACAGGGAAAACTAGCTTTGCACCATCAATGTTTAACATTTACACAAAGGACCAGCTAATGCCAGAAGGGACAGAGAATTTCATCTATGCTGACGATCTTGCCATCACCACTCAAGCAGGGAGTTTGAAGTGGTTGAACAAAAGCTCTCTGAAGCTTTAGGTTCTCTTACTGCCTGCTACAGGGAAAACCAGCTTGCACCATCAATGTTTAACATTTACACAAATTACCAGCTAATACCAGAAGGGACAACGACTTTAATCTATGCTGACAATCATGCCATCACCACTCAAGCAAGGAGCAAAAGGTGTCACCCCAAAGGTGATTCATCAAAGAATGCAAACTGTTTATGGTGATTGTTTTGATGTGAGTACTGTGCATCATTGGGTGAGTAAGTTTAAAGATGTTGAGGTGACACTTTATGCTGTCAAGAATTCAACGACTGCACATTGCTTAAGTCGCATTGACCGACCATCTGTGCAGGGTTCAATTTTTCGCACTTTAACAACACAACCATTCAATGCTAAGGCTTCCTGCCAAAATGGAACTGTAGAGGAGAGTCTACTGAACAAGCCAGTACCTGCTGCATACCAGTACTGCCATTACAACCCTCGTAGTATAATACAAGTTTCAAACTTTGTTTGTGTTCTTTTAAATACATTACAATTGCACCCTCCCCTGACCTGCTGCTCTTTCTATTTTGGCCTATTCTGATTTAGAGTCTACAGAGGTACAGCCTGAGCAGAACATGGCCGTCTCAGCAAAAACAAGGTGGTTAATATCCTGAGACTCCTGCCGCGACTTGAGTCGCTCCTGACCTTTACCGCAAGCTCTAAGCCAGGCGCGTTCGGAATGCGGCAGAAGGATTAGATCAATAGGATTGTTTTATTTAGACGTTAATTTTCCGCAAGCAAGGGAAAGGCGCACCGTCAGCGGGGTTATATCTGAGCTGGCTGGCCACTCAAGTTTTTAAAAACCTGATGGAAGGGGCTGTGAGACAGACAGATGGAAAAGCACTTGGACAAAGATTACTGAGAGCTGGGTCAGAACAGGACGGAAAGCGTTTTGCTTACAGAATTAGACGCAGAAGCACTCCTGCCATGGAAAGGTCTGCCCACGCCACCCACCTGGCCAGTAATCTTCCTCCCGGTCGCACGATCAGAAGGATTTAGGGACCATTTATGTGAAAAGCAATGAAATGAAAGCCTAGGAAGCCATCTCCAAGGTTTTTTGCAGAGGTGAAATTGCACCTAGGCCCAACAATCCCATAGATATTGGGATGGTACAGGACAGGAAGCAGTTGCTCTTTGATAGGACCCCATTTCTCTCCCCTTAAGACAAAAAAGGCCAAGACTACGTCTATTTTTTTAAGCTGGGGAAGGTAAAGTAGGACTTGGGGGTTACTTCTAGAACTAGATACCATATATACTCGAAGATAAGCCAGATTATAATGGGGTCAAGCCAGGCAACGAAGCATGGAGGCCATTGCTTGCAATATATGATACATTTTTCTCTCCTCTTCCCCTCCCTTAACATTGTGTTTCCTTTTCCAAATTCTCCCTGATTCACTGGAGAGAGAGAAGCCCTTGCAAGATATTAACAAATATTTTCCCCTGAAATATTTATCACTCCTACAGATATATAGGCATTTCCCCTGCAAGCTTATCCAATCCCTTTGTACCTATATATCAGTATTTATATTTATACTAGCTGTCCCCTGCCGGTCTGTGTATATGTGTTTTGTGTGTATATATTTGTGTGTATGTGTGTGTATATATCTGTGTATATATGTGTGTTTGCATATATATATGTGAGCGTGTATTTGTGTGTTTATATGTCTACATGCATATTGTGTATATATGTGTATATATTGTATATATGTGTGTTTGCTTATATATATATATGGGTGTATATATGTGTGTATATATTTGTTTATATATGTGTTTTTGCGTATATATGTTTGCGTATAAATATTTGTGTATTTGTGTGTTTATATGTGTACATGCATATTTGTGTGTATATATGTATGTATGTGGATATGTATACGTGTGTGCATGTGTATGTGTATATATGTATGTGTGTATATGGTGTGTATTTGTGTGTGTTTGTGTGTGTTTGTACATATATATATATATATATATATATATACACATGTGTGTATGAATGTGTGCATGTGCATATGTATATGAGTGTATGTGTGTATGTATATATGATGTATTTTTGGGTTTTTAAGCCTGTTCCACTAGGGTTTTGTGTGTGCGTGTGTGTGTTTATGGGTGATGGACACTCATTGGACTGTTAGGTGTGTTGTGTCCAAATTTCGTGTCAATTTGTCCAGTAGTTTTTGAGTTATGTTAATCCCACAAACGAACATTACATTTTTATTTATATAGATTTTTATGTACTAAACGTACTATTATTATTATTATGTTATTGTTGACACCATATTTTTTGTATTGACCCTACTTTCCCACTTACAGAGCTAGTTTACTGTTTTTCTTCAAAATACGGTAAATATTCAAAAACATTTACCCTACGGATGCCTCAATTAATGCAATTTTATTGGTATCTATTTTTATTTTGAAATTTACCAGTAGCTGCTGCATTTCCCACCCTCAGTTTAGACTCAAGTCAATATGTTTTCCCATTAAAATTAAGTGCCTTGGCTTATATTCAGGTCGGCTTATACTCAAGTATATATGGTACTCTCATTCTGGTGCCCAAATATTGGCTGGAGAAGGCTGTTTCAGAACTGTGTGCCTTATTTCAGTCACATATAATGGAAATTTCCTGCAAGGATTCAAGAGTGATGTTGCAAACCAAACCATTGGCTGGGCTTGCTTATATTATTTGAAAGCCAAAGGCAGGAGAGAGGAATGCTGTGAAGACATTGGTAATGAAGTGTTCATCTCACTCCTCTATTTCTAAACTAAAGAACCAAGTTAGTGACATCAGGAGCAGGAATCTGGGGCTTTCCTTTGGATCCTGAACTTCTTTCTCCTCCATGGAGTATTTCATGCTGACGTTCACCAGCTCATTGTCCCCGGAGTAGGAGACCAATGCAAATGGCAGCTTAGAGAGGAACAGAATGGGCAAGCGGATACGTGATTGTGGCACGTGAGACAGAAAGCCCCACAAACAGCACTATCCCCCGCCATACAACAATAAAAACACTCCGCTGTCCTCTCATAACATCTCATGAAATCATAGAATAATAGAATTGGAAGAGATCACATAGGCCAGTATTTCTCAACCTGGGGGTCACGGCCACTGAAGGGGTTGCAAGGTGGTTTAAGGAGGTTCACCAAAGACCATCAGAAAACATATATTTATGATGTTCTTAGGAATCCTTTTGGCAGAGGAAGCTGAAGATCTCTTCGCCTGTCCTTCTCTTCCTTTTTGGTAACAGATGGGGAGTCCCCCCCACTAAAGCCCTCCTCCACTGTGATTGGCCGGCCAAGTGGAGGGCTGTTTCTGAGACTTCAAGATGGGAAGGGAGAGCAGGCGTGCTCAGCAAACGAAGTGGGTGAGGGAGAGCGTGGGAGGCTGGAAGGAGGCTTGTGCCAGTGAGTCCCTCCAAGGCATGTGTGCCAAGTTTGGCCCAATTCTATCGTTGGTAGGGTTCAGAATTCTCTTTCATTGTAGGAGAACTAGAAATCCCAGCAACTATAACTCCCAAATGTCAAGTTATATTTCCCCCCAAAATCCACCAGTGTTTAAATTTGGGCAAATTGAGGATTTGTGTCAAGTTTGGTCCAGATCCATCATTGTTTGGATCCACAGTGCTCTCAGGATTTAGGTGGACTACATCTCCCAAACCCAAGGTCAATGCCCACCAAACCCTTCCAGTATTTTCTGTTGGTCATGGGAGTTCTGTGTGACAAGTTTGGTTCAATTCCATTCTTAGTGAAGTCCAGAGTGCTCTTTGATTGTAGGTGGACTAGAAATCCCAGCAACTACAACTCCCAAATGACAAAATCAACTCTCACAACCCCCCCTCCCCCAGTATTCAAATTTGGGCATATTAATTTGTGTCAAAACCTGTGAATGAAAATACATCCTGCATATCAGATATTTACATGACGCTTCATAACAGTTCTGAAGTAGCAACGTAAATAATGTGATAGTTGAGGGTCACCACAACATTAGGAACTGTATTAAGAGGTCGCGGCATTAGGAAGGTTGAGAAACACTGACATAGGCCATCTAGTCCAACCCTCTGCCATGCAAGAAAAGCACTATCAAAATATGCGGCTGTTCCATGCAATGTTTATGGAAAGCCAACGCAATGGATCCCTGCTCCTGGTGCCTCTTAGTCTAATGATCCGTCATTGCCTACAGATTAAGTTCTAGTTCTACTTTCCCCGTCGTACCTTGCTGGTGCAATTATCCTACATTTGGGAGCATTCAGGAAAGAAAGAAGAGAAGGTAAGTGGACAGAAGAAGGAGAAATACACATATTTCATCGAGATTTCACGACTTCAAAGGTATACTTCCAACATTAGCAAATCAGGATCTGAAAACCAAACGTTTACAAGAAGCAAAAATGGTCTGACTGTAGAGCAAGGAATTTGGAAGGAAGAGAGAGGCTGCAACATTGTTCCAGGTCCATCGTTCAGAGTGCAGTTCTTACATTGCAGGTGAACTATACATCCCAGGACCTACAACTCCTATAAACCATGGTGAATTCTCCCCAAAGCTCTCTAGTATGTTCTGCTGCGAATCAATTCCTCTGTCTGCTGTGTGCCATAGAAAATAATAGGAAAGGGTTCGGGGGAAGCAGTGGGCGGAGTCATGCAAATTCCACACCAATGCAGAGAGTCGGAAACACCGGGCTGGGAGTCAGCTGCATTAAGATCACTACTGATCGAAAGATCGTGAGTTCAAAGCCATCCCCGGGTCGGAGTGAGCTTCCGACCAATTTGTGTAGCTCGCTGTCAACCTTTGCAGCCCAAAAGACAGTTGCATCTGTTAAGTAGGAAATTTAGGTACCATGTATGCGGGGAGGCTAACTTAACTAATTTACGACGCCATAAAAATCTCCAGCAAGCAAGCAAAAGAATGAGGAAGTACTTCATTACTGTCACAAATGGACGGTGAAGCGACAGCTCCCCTGGTGGCCAGAATACCCTCATGAAAAAGCTGGAATGTTAAATAGCCTCAGTGTGTCTGTCTATATATGTTGTTGAATGTTTGCCATGTATATGTACATAGTAATCCGCCCTGAGTCCCCTGTGGGGTGAGAAGAGTGGAATATAAATACTGTAAATAAATAAACACTGGGATGTCTTTTTTGGAGGAAACACATACGATCTTGTTCCACCTTGTCTCCTGTGCTATGCTAATAATATAATGTAATATGATGTAATATAATGGATTGTATATACATATAATATTTATAATATTATAATGTAATGCAATATAATACTAATAATAGTAATATGATATTATAATTATATATTTATATTACATGTAATATTACTAATGATATTACAATATAATGGTATAGTACAATATAGTAACATTTAATACTGGTACTGTACTATAATAATATGATATTATAATTATATATTTATATTACATGTAATATTACTAATACTATTACAATATAATAGTGTAGTATAATATAGTAACATTTAATACTGATACTGTACTATAATAATATGATATTATAATTATACATTTATATTACATGTAACATTACTAATAATATGACAATATAATAGTATAGTACAATATAGTAACATTTAATACTGATAATTAATAATATAATATATATTGTGTGTGTGTATATATATATATATATATATATTTCTTGTAAGCCGCTCTGAGTCCCCTTCATGGTGAGAAGGGCAGCATATAAATGTTGTAAATAAATAAACAAATAAATAAAATCTAAGGATGTGGCTGGAATACCATTTCCATACTCATGAGGGATGATGGGAACTGTAATTCAACACCAGTGGAGGGCAACAAGCTTCCCAAGCCTGGGTTCACCTTGAAAACATAAATCTTCCTACCAGAGGTCTTACAAGAACTATAGCTAGGGGAAAAAATATATACTACCACACTCATATCCTGTCACACTATTCTTTCCATGTTATCAGCGTGTTACGAAACCAAAGCCATTCGGACTTACCACTTCGGCCAAGGCGGAAATGACTTTCCCCAGGGTGGTGAGGGATTTGTTGATATTTGCTCCTTCCTGGGAAGAGAAGGAGAGTTTTGCCATTACGTATCATCTATAGGGACATCTATGAAAAGCAATCATTCCAACTGGAGTGCATTACGGACTGAAAGCAGGCCCAAACCTAATCCCTGTGGTGTGGGTTTTCCAGGGGATTCGTTACATTGCTGATTCATTCTGGATGAGGCTCCAAGAGTAAGGGCTTAACATTATTATTATTATTATTACTATCTTGGGTTATTTGAAAAAGTCAATTATTTAATTGTATGAAATGTGCAAGGTTGTGGTTGAAGTACAACTCCCACCATGCCAGGTTAAACCCTAAGACACTCCATCAGTACTTAAAGTTTGTTATGTTGGCCAAGGTTGCTCTAGATGCATCACTGGTGGGGTTCAGTGTGCTCTCTGACTGCAAGGTAAACTACAACTCCCACTGGTGAGTCGGTCCCCTCAAATCCCTCCAGTAGGTTGAGTTAGTCATGGAGGTTCTGTGCACCAAGTTTGGTCCAGGTCCATCATCGGTGGAGATCATTGTTTCTCTGGTTGTGGGTGAACTACAACTCCCAGAAAGGAAGGTCAGTTCCCCCCCCCCAACAGCCCCCTAAACTACAACTACCCCCTCAAAGCCCTCCAGTAGGTTGAGTTAGTCTTGGGAGTTCTGTATGCCAAGTTTCGTCCAGGTCCATCATAGGTGAAGATCATAGTTTCTCTGGTTGTGGGTGTACTACAACTCCCAGAAAGGAAGTTCGGTTCCCTCCAAACTCTTTCAGTAATCAAATTTCAACATATCAGATATGCGTGCCAAGTTTGGTCCAGATTCATCATCGTTGGAGGTCATCGTTTCTCTGGTTGTGGGTGAACTACAATTCCCAGAAAGGAAGGTCAGTTCCCTCCAAACCCTTCCAGTAATCAAATTTCAACATATCAGATATGTGTGCCAAGTTTGGTCCACATCCATCATCAGTGGAGATCATAGTTTCTCTGGTTGTGGGTGAACTACAACTCTCAGAAAGGAAGTTCGGTTCCCTCCAAACTCTTCCAGTAATCAAATTTCAACATATCAGCTACGCGTGCCAAGTTTGGTCCAGGTCCATCATCGGTGATTATCGTTTCTCTGGTTATGGGTGAACTACAACTCCCAGAAAGGAAGATCAGTTTCCTCCAAACCCTTCCAGTAATTTCAACGTATCAGATATGTGTACCAAGTTTGGTCCAGGTCCATCAGTGTTTGGGTTCACAGTGCTCTCTGGATGTAGGTGAACTACAACTCCCACAAATCAAGGTGAATTTTCACCAAAGACCTTCAGTATATTTTTGCTGGCCATGGGTCTCTGAGTGCCGGGTTTAGTCTATTCCATCTTTGGTGGACTTGTGCTCATTGTGCTCATTGATTGCAGGTGAACTATACATCTCCTGGAGTCTAATATGATCTTCCACACCACTGGCTTCTGAATCCTCTTGAGGAAAATACCAGTCACTGAAACTGAAACGTACCTTTAATCGGGTCCCTTTGGCCCCAGTCGAGTCGGCCCTTTCGCTCCCTGCCAGGTCCACAAGGCTGATCTTGCTCACCTAGAAAGAGGAGGACGGTCAAACAAACCAGAACTGGATCCCAAAGGATCCAGCGGTCCCAAGGATATTCTCCTCCCGTTCCATCATATTTACTCTTCTAATTGCAGTATAAGTGTTAACATTCAGTTGCCATTCAATGCCAAACCCACAATATCTTTTCACACAGTCTTATCATCAGGTTGCTGTCCGGCAGCATTCTCTCCTGACATTTCGCCCACATCTATGGCAGGCATCTTCAGAGGTTGAGTTCATAAAATCACAGAATTGGAAGAAGACCTCATGTGCCATCCAGTCCAACCCCCTGCCAAGAAGCAGGAAAATTGCATTCAACGCACCCCCGACAGATGGCCATGCAGCCTCTGTTTCAAAGCCTCCAAAGAAGGAAGATGTTTGTTTGGGGTTTATATCTCTGTGGGTGGGAGAAAGAACTCTTGTCTGCTGTAGGCGGGTGTGAATGTTGCAATCGGCCACATTGATTATTATTATAATAATTATATTATAATAATATAATATAATATGATATAATAATATAATATAATATAATAATAATATCATCATCATCATCATCTTTATTTATACCCCACCACCATCTCCCCAACGGGGACTCGGGGCAGCTTACATGAGACCAAGTCTGGACAACATATTACAGCAAGATAAAACCAAAACATAAGCAACAAGCAACAGCATCAAAATTACATTAAAAAATATTGGTCTTGCAGCTTCAAAGTCTGGCTGGTTTTGAGGCTTATATATCCGTGGAATAATGTCCAGGGTGGTAGAAAGAACGCTTGTCTGCTGGAGGCGGGTGTGAATGTTGCAATTGGCCACCTTGATTAGCATTGAATAGCCTTGCAGCTTCAAAGCCTGGCTAATTGCAGCCTGGGGGAATGTTGGGAGGTGTTAGCTGGCCCTAATTCAACCAAACTGATTCAGTCAGAGAAGTCAGCCACAGCAGAGTGCCTGGACACGGCAAATCCTGGACCACGCAAACAACCACCATGTCAGGCTACACAGAGAAGCCACTGAAATCCACAAGAAGCATGTGGACAATTTCAACAGAAAGGAGAAAACCGTGAAAAGGAATAAAATCTGGCTCCTAGTATTTTAAAAAACGCTAAAATCAGGACAGTAAATAAAGAGCAACACTCAGAAAACAGGGGAATTCCAGGCAAGAATCAATTCGGGCCAGCTAACACCTTCCAACAAAGGATTCCCCCAGGCAAGAAGCGGCAAGGCTTTGAAGCTGCAAGGGTATTCAATAATAATCAGGGTGGCCAGTGGCAACATTCACACTTGCCTCCAACAGACAAGAGTTCTTTCTCCCACCCTGAACATTATTCCAGAGATACATAAACCTCACTTGCCAGATAACACCTCTAAACAAAGGATTCCCCCAGTTGGGAAGCAGCAGGGCTCTGAAGCTGCAAGGCCATTCAATACTAATGCAAAATTCACACTTGCCTTCAGCAGACAAGAGTTCTTTCTCCCACTCTGGACATTATTCCACAGATACATAAACCTCACTTGCCAGATAACATCTCCCAACAAAGGATTCCCCCAGTTGGGAAGCAGCAGGACTTTGAAGCTGCAAGGCCATTCAATGCTAATGCAAAATTCACACTTGCCTTCAGCAGACAAGAGTTCTTTCTCCCACTCTGGACATTATTCCACAGATACATAAACCTCACTTGCCAGATAACACCTCCCAACAAAGGTTTCCCCCAGTTGGGAAGCAGCAGGGCTCTGAAGCTGCAAGGCCATTCAATGCTAATGCAACCTTCACACTTGCCTCCAGCAGACAAGAGTTCTTTCTCCCACCCTGGACATTATTCCACAGATACATAAACCCCATTTTCCTAGTTTCCAGCAGACCTCACAACCTCTGAGGATGCCTACTATAGATGTGGGAGAAACGTCAGGAGAGAATGCTTCTGGAACATAGCCTTACAGACTGAAAAAACTACTGCAACCCATATGAAAGCCTTGGACAACACATTCAGAAATATATATATATATATTCCCTTTTCTTTTGTTTTCCCCAAAGTCCAGAAAGTCTCCCCCAACTCCCTTTTGACATGCAAATCCCACTCCAGAATCGTAAACCTCGCTCACAGCCGCCTCCAAACGAAACTAGGTCTACAGGGAGGATGCAAAAGAGGAGAGAGTTAATGAGGCGGGAATTCGTGAAGGCTTGCCAAGCAGAAACACTGAGGCTTCTGTGCCCAGGGAGGGAGGTTTCCTCGGCCTCCCATTATGTTATTACACTAGAGTTGTTCTTCCTCCTCTCTTTACATCGCCATTGTTGACATTCTCCTCCAGGCTCCCAATTTAGAACCATTCTCAAGATGTGCGGGAACAAGGGCAGCAGAGAGGAGCAGCGTTTCTTGGGACTGGGGGCTGGGTTCTGCCCTGTTTCAGAAATCGCTGCACAGACAGCATTGTAGCAAAATGCGACAACAGTCCACAAACAATACCAAATGGCATTTCCCCCCCTCCAATCCCAGGGCATCCTACCTTCTCGGTGGACAGGTCAGTTTCAGGATCGTGCTTCTTTTGCGTGAACACAATCGTAAACACAGCATGAGAACGGCTGCTGGTTTCGTTCATGTTGGTTGCGGCCACCGTCCTTTGAAAGCGGGGAAAGAAAAGGAGAGAGAAAAGTTCACCTCAGACTGAAAGAGCCCTCACTTTGAGAAGGCCTCAATGTTAGTAGGCCTCAGTATGAGAAGGCCTCAGTCTGAGAGAGCCCTCAGTAGGAGAAGGCCTCAGTGTGAGGTAGGCCTCAGTGTGAGTAGGCCTTGGTGTGAGAAGCTTCGATGAGAGGAAGCCCCAGGTTGAAGGCCATCTTCCAGAGTGTTACACCAGTGTTAACATCCATATGATAGTTAATCTGTTTTCCAAGCACAAGCGAAGACTGCTATGTATAAAAAGCTACTGTGTGAAATTTCTATGTAAGTTCGTTGTGAGAAGAGGCTCTGTGAGAGAGAAGCTGTTTAGCTGCATGAGAAAGAAGCCCAGTGTGGAAGCAAAGAAGGAAGGATAAAGAACTTTGTGTTATGTTGTGTTATGTTTTTGTAAAGAGGGTAACCATATTATTTTGCTATAAAGAAAAGCCTCCTATGGAAGAGATAAGCTAATAGTGTAAGGAGGCCTCAGTGTGAGATAGGCCTCAGTGTTAGTCTCAGTATGAGAAGGCCTCAGTGTTAGTTTGACTCAGTGTGTGAGAGAGGCCTTAGTCTGAGAGAGCCCTCAGTGGGAGAAAGGTTTCAGTGTTAGTAGGCCTCGGTATGAGAAGCTTCAATGAGAGGAAACCCCAGGTTGAAGGCCATCTTATTTATTTTTTTATTTATGTCAGATATTTGTATCCCACCCTTCTCAACCCCCCCGGGAGGGGGGACGACTCATGGCAACAATTCGATGCCACCAATGTACACATAATAAAAAACATAATAAAATCCAATAATTATATATATTTAAAACATTAAATCACATTAATTAATTAAAATCTTCCAGAGTGTTACATCAGTGTTAACATCCATATGAAAGTTAATCTGTTTTCCAAGCACAAGCGAAGGCTGTTATGTATAAAAAGCGACTGTGTGAAACTTCTGTGTAAGTTCGTTGTGAGAAGAGGCTCTGTGAGAGCGAAGCTGTTTAGCTGCATGAGAAAGAAGCCCAGCATGGAAGCAAAGAAGGAAGGATAAATAACTTTGTGTTATGTTTTGGTAAAGAGTGCAACCATATTATTTTGCTGTAAAGAAAAGTCTCCTATGGAAGAGATAAGCTAACAGTGTAAGGAGGCCTCAGTGAGAGAAAGGCCACAGTGTGAGGTAGGCCTCAGTGTGAATAGGCCTGGTGTGTTTTTTTTTTCTTTTATCACTTTTGGCTACTGATGTTGGGTCACACTGCTGCTGATAAGTTGTTCTGCTGTGCCTTTATTTGTTATTAAGCCCGCTCTGAAGAGGACGCTTTACACGCTCTCATAAAAGACACTCTTCCAGCATGAGGGATTAACCCATATATTGAGTTTTCGGGTGAGCTTTTGTACCGTCGCTTGATCTGCCACTCTAATTTAGCAACTTATTTTAATTCTCACTGCTACAGGGTTAGCTCTCTCTCCCCCATGAATTTGCTTTCAAGGAATGTAGCATGTCACTTCCTTTAAAAGGGTTTTAAAGGAGGCCAATTAAAAAATAACATTAAGAGGTATCATATGAAACATTTCTTAGTCAGCGCAGCTGTCACGGGTGTGAAACTCAAGCTATTTGTGACGCCTCCGAATCAGAGGGAAACCAACCTTGCTTTGTTCCCGGCGTCCATGAGATCCGCAATGTCAGTGTAAGAAGTGACAGCGAGTTTGGAGAGATCCTCCACATAGGGCCCGAGCAGAGGGTGCTCTCGGACGCGCAAGTTCCCCTTGTTCTTCGGATTCAGCAAATCTCGGACTCTCTCGCAGTAGATTTCCATGTAACTGACCTGTAGGCAAATGAAGGTCAGAATTTCAGTTGTGAAGGAACGCCCGCAACAAACACAGCAACATTTACATTGATAGTAATAGACAAAAGCTTATTTTGTTTTAAACTTGTGCATATATCCAGCATTGACCAGGTTTCGTTGGGAAAGTGCCTGCCTACTTGCTTCCTTTTCCAGCTCTGAAAAGGCCTAGTTTTTCCCTTCTCCAGTTCTGAAGACCCACTTTCTCCCTTCTCCAGCTCTGAAAAGGCCTACGTTCTCTCTTCTCCAGTTCTGAAAAGACCTACTTTCTACCTTCTCCAGCTCTGAAACGAACCCTTCTCCAGTTCTGTAAAGATATATGTTCTCCCTTATCCAGCACTGAAAAGACCTATGTTCTTCCTTCTCCAGCTCTAAAAAAAACTTATGTTTTCCAGCACTGAAAAGACCTATGTTCCCCAGCACCACCTATGTTCTCCAGCTCTAAAAAGAACCCTTCTCCAGTTCTGAAAAGATATATGTTCTCCCTTATTCAGCACTGAAAAGACCTAAGTTCTCCCTTCTCCAGCTCTATAAAAAGCTGTACGTTCTCCAGCACCAGCTATGTTCTCCAGCTCTAAAAAGAACCCTTCTCCAGCTCTGAAAAGAACTATGTTCTCCAGCACTGAAAAGACCTATGTTCTCCCTTCTCCAGCTCTGAAAAGACCTACGTTCTCCCTTCTCCAGGTCTGAAAAGAACAATGTTCTCCATCACTGAAAAGACCTATGTTCTCCAACTCCAGCTATGTTCTCCAGCTCTGAAAAGAACTATGTTTTCCAGCACTGAAAAGACCTATGTTCTCCAGCTCCAGCTATGTTCTCCAGCTCCGAAAAAAACCCTTCTCCAGTTCTGAAAAGACCTACATTCTCCCTTCCCTACAACAATTGGCAATGATGATTGGAACGGAATATGGATAACGAGATTGGTTTATGATTCTACGATGAGACGGCGCGGATGATTTAGTGTAATTGTATTATTGATAGTTATGTTGATATTCTGTTGTGATATTGCCTTATTGTAAACTGTTTTTTATATGTTGTACACCGCCGTGAGTCGCCCTAGGGCTGAGAACGGCGGTCAACAAATGCAGTAAATAAATAAATAAATAAATAAATAATTCTCCAGCTCTGAAAAGAACTACATTCTGCCTTCTCCAGCTCTGAAAAAGACCTACATTCTTCCTTCTCCAGCTCTGAAAAGACCTACATTCTCCCTTCTCCAGCTCTGAAAAGACCTACATTCTCCCTTCTCCAGCTCTGAAAAGAACTACATTCTCTCTTCTCCAGCTCTGAAAAGAACTACGTTCTCCCTTCTCCAGCTCTGAAAAGAACTACATTCTCCCTTCTCCAGCTTTGAAAATGCCTTTGTTCTCCCTTCTCAGACACTGAAGAAACCTACATTCTCCCTTCTCCAGCTCTGAAAAGTATCCTTCTCTAGCACTGAAAGGACCTACATTCTCCCTTCTCCAGCTCTGAAAAGAACTATTTTATCTGGCACTGAAAAGACCTACATTTTCGCTTCTCCAGCTCTGAAAAGACCTACGTTCTCCTTTCTTCACTATGAAGAGAACTATGTTCTCCCTTCTCCAGCTCTGAAAAGGCCTACGTTCTCCCTTTTCCAGCTCTGAGAAGCCCTACCTCAGAATGCATCCATGCCAACATGGCTCTTTCCTTTCTTCCTCCCTTCTCATCAAACACCGGTCACTTTCCTACTGACATCACAGTGTGCTACAGCCAATCCCTCACCTAACAACAGCCAACACGGTGACATAATAGAGGGCCACTTCACCCAACAACAGCCTTTGCTGTACAGGCACATATACATTCAGCTGGGAAGCAGTTAGTCATATCTTCACAAATCAGATCTCCAAATCAGGATTGAGCTCTCCTTCAGCCACTTGGCAAATCTCGGGTGGGCTTAGCACAAGCATCCCATCTGTCTGTCAAGGAAGCAGGCCCCACAAAACATATGGAACAAATGTGTGCAGGGTCGGGCTATTTTTATATATAGGCGGCGTTTGATTCGTTCGCCAACTATGGACACACATCCTCCTCAATGTGGACTTGGCCCAGAGCCTGGAAGCTGAGTGAACAGGACAAACTCCTTTGTTCAGACATCGTGTGGACTTCCGGTCACCCGCACTCTTTGGACGCGGAGGCCTGCAGCGACATTATGCACACCTGCATTGACTCTTTGGATGACTAAATGCATCAATAGCACAGGGCAAAAAGTGGCCGTACAGCTCAGCATGCCCTGCAGAGCACCCAAAGGCAGGCATTCCTTCTCTTCAAAGCAGCGGCTCCCAACCTGTGGTCCACGGACCATGGACTAAAATATGGTCCACAAAGCAAAGACCTTGTGAAATACAACTCCCAGGATGCCATCGCTTACTTCTTTTTCTTCCTTCTCTCCTTCTTTCCCCCTTCCTTCCTTCCTTCCTTCCTCACTCCCTCAGTCCCATCCCTTCCTCCTTTTCTTTCTTGCTATACTCCTTTCTTGTTTGCTTTCTCTCCCCACTTCCCTCCTTGCTTCCTTTTTTCGTTTCTTCCTTCTCTCCACTCCTTCCTTTTCTTCCCTTCTTTCCCTTCCTCTCTCCCTCCCTTCTTCCTTCAGTCCCATCCCTTTTTCCCTTTCTTCCTAGCCCCTTCCTTACTTCCCTCCTTCCTTCTTTTCTTCCTTCTCTCACTCCTTCCTTGCTTCCTTCTTCCCATCCTTTCCTTCCTCCCTCCCTCCTTCTGTCCATCCCTTCCTTCCTTTCTTCCTTGCCTCCCTTCTTCCTTCCTTCTCTGCTTCCTTCTCTCCCTCCTTCCTTGCTCCCTTCCTTCTTTCCTTCCTTCCCTTACTCTCTCCCTTCCTTCTGTCCATCCCTCTTTTCCTTTGCCTCTCTCCTTCCTTCTTTTCTTCCTTTTCTCCCTTCTTCCATGCTCCCTTCCTTCTTTCCTTCCTTCCTTGGTCCCATCCCTACTTCCTTTGCCTCCCTCCTCGCTTCCCTCCCTCCCTCCTCTTCTTCCTTCTCTCCCTCCTTCCTTGCTCCCTTCCTTCTTTCCTCCCTTCCATTACTCTCTCCCTTCCTTCCTACTTCTGTCCATCCCTTCTTCCCCTTTTCCTTTGCCTCCCACCTTCCTTCTTTTCTTCCTTCTCTCCCTTCTTCCTTGCTCCCTTCTTTCTTTCCTTCCTTAGTCCCATCCCTACTTCCTTTGCTTCCCTCCTTGCTTCCGCCTTTCCTTCTTTGCTTCCTTTTCTCCCTCCTTCCTTGCTACCTTCCTTCTTTCCTTCCTTCCCTTACTCTCTCCCTTCCTTCCTCCTTCTGTCCACTCCTTCTTTTTCTTTGCCTCCCTCCTTCCTTCTTTTCTTCCTTCTCTCCCTTCTTCCTTTCCTTCCTCAGTCCCATCCCTACTTCCTTTGCCTCCCTCCTTGCTTTCCCTCCTTCCTTCTTTTCTTCCTTCTCTCCCTCCTTCTTTCCCATCCCTTCCTCCCTCACTTCCTTTCATCCCTCTCTCCCCCCAGCCCTCCATCCCTTCTTGCTTCTCTCCCTCCTTCCTTGGCCCTTTCTAACGTCCTTCCCTCCTCCTTCCTTTCTCCCTCCTTCCTGATTCCTTTGTCCTGTGTGTCTAAAACAGTAGTGAATGTTTGCTGTGTATGTATACTGTGATCCACCTGGTCAAAAAAAGATTGGGAATCACTGCTTTAAAGAGCAGGATATAAATACAACAACAATAGCAGCAACAGAGGAGTGGGGGGAAAAGGATGGATGGTCCAAAAATTAGGCCAGTGACAGCCATGAGGTTTGCAACTGAATTCAGCCCAAAGGTGGAAGGTTGGAAAATACTAGTAAATAAATCACTGGCGGCCATATTGGTTCATGCCTCGCAATGTATTCTGGGACAAAGAACCACTGGTAAGGCTTCTTCTCCAAAACCACATAGGTTGGACAACTCAGAGATGCTCAGTTTCCCGAGACAGTCTAGATCGGAAGCACAAAGAAACATGACAGCGCACATAAACACACACCGTACTCTCTTACCTCAACTGAGTAAGACATTTCCGCGTTGCTGTTGTCATTGATCTTCTCAAACAGCTCCTCGCAGAGCTATATAAAGAGATTAAGAGAACGTCAAACTACAACCATGTAAACAACAAAAACGGTGACAGGACGCCCGTGACATTTAATCTTAGTACTGTTCCAAATACAGGGAGTAGCAAAAAGGCCATTAATTCGTTCCCATTCATCCAAAACTCATTAGACAACCAATCCATTTGGCCTTGAGGCAGTTATCAACTGTACCTATAGCCAACTAATGTTAATCTGCAGTATTATTCTGGGCCCCAGGGTAGGAGAAATTCAAAACAGAAGTGACAGACCATACAAATTGAAATAAGAAATATGGGCCACAAGTCCCAGAAGGGCACGATTATATGAAATCTTCACTCATCCAGCTGCAAAACATTACGGTCCCAGCTTAGTGTTCAAAGCATCTTTAGGAGGCTAGTTGTTTGTTTGGAAAAGACTCCCTTGGCTAGGATTTTCAAGAAATATAAACGCAATCTGGGGGTTTGATGTGCCTTAAGCAACCTCATTAACCCTCAATTCCTCAGGGTCTCAGTGGTTAACTTCTTCCTGACTCTGCACAATGAAGAGCTGTCGGAAATATACATCTCAATGCCAAGCGCTTCCAGGCTGAACTCACCTGTGGGATGATGCCCGCCTGGTTCTCCTCCTGCTTCCCCATCATAGTATAAGATTTCCCGGCTCCAGTTTGGCCGTAAGCAAAAATACACACGTTGTAGCCCTCAAAGGCATGCAGCAACATCTCCTTCCCAATATCATTGTAAACTTGGTTCTGGGACGCAAAGCAAGGGTCATCAGACTGAGGGAAAGAAAGGAAGAAGCGGTCAGTAGTTGAACAGGGTGAGTTATCTGAGAATGAAATTGAATCGGATGTACCAGGTCCAAGAGTTAATGAGGGGAGTGAGACCTTGAATAGGAAAAGAAGCTTGTTCTCTCCTCCCTATGACTTCGCCTCACATATTTATATTTATTTGTTTATTTTGTTTGTTTATGACATTTATATGCCGCTCTTCTCACCCTCAAGGGGACTCAGAGTGGCTTACAATATATATATACATACAATATATATTATTAGCATAGTATAATATCAGTATTATATTTTACTATATTGTATTATACTATTATATTCTATTATTATTATTATTATTAACTTTATTTGTACCCCGCTAGCATCTCCCGAAGGACTCGATGCGGCTTACATAGGCCGAAGCCTCAGAACACAATACAGTAAAACATAACACAACAATAAACAAAGCAAATCAAAATAGTTAAGCAGAATAACAACAACAGTGACAATACATCAGGACACTTTAAAACTGGGCCGGCCAGAGCAATGGGGTACAGGGTTAAAAGTGCTGAAATGGCAGGAGGAACGTAGGATTAAAATAGTGCGGTGTGCAGCAATCTTAATTATACTAAAGTGCTTCTAGGACTTGGGATGGGGAATTCCTAATCTGAGAAGGCACATCGGAACAGCCAAGTTTTTAGGTTCTTTCTGAAAGCTGCTAAAGTAGGGGCCTGTCGAAGATCTTGGAAGGGCGTTCCAAAGTCGGGGGGCCGCCACAGAAAAGGCCCTGTCCCGTGTCCCCACCAAGCGCGCTTGCGACGTGGGTGGGATCACGAGCAGGGCCTCCCCAGATGACCGGAGCGAGCGTGTGGGTTCGTAGATGGAGATGCGGTCACGCAGGTAGGGTGGTCCCAAACCGTTCAGGGCTTTGTAGGTGAGCACCTGCACCTTGAATTGGGCTCGGAAAATAAATGGCAGCCAGTGGAGCTCCTTAAACAGGAGGGTTGACCTCTCTCTGTAATGAGCCCCGGTTAGCATCCTGGCTGCTGCCCATTGGACCAGTTGGAATTTCCGAGCCGTTTTCAAGGGCAGCCCTACGTAGAGCGCATTGCAGTAATCCATTCTAGAGGTGACCAAGGCATGGACCACCCCGGCCAGATCAGCCTTCGCGAGGTACGGTCGCAGCTGGCGCACAAGTCTCAATTGTGCAAAGGCCCTCCCGGATACCGCCGACACCTGAGCCTCAAGTGTGAGCGAAGAATCCAAGAGGACACCCAAACTGCGGACCTGTGGCTTCAGGGGGAGTGTAACCCCGTCCAACACAGGTAGCCACCCTATACCCCGATCCGGTTTACGATCGACCAGGAGGACCTCTGTCTTGTCAGGATTGATCTTCAGCTTGTTCCTCCTCATCCAGATCGACACAGCGGCCAGGCACTCGTCCAGCACCCGAGAGGCCTCCTTGGAATTAGGTGGAAAGGAGTAGTAGAGTTGTGTGTCATCCGCATAAAGATGGCACCCAACTCCAAAACTCCGGATGACCTCTCCCAGCGGTTTCATGTAGATGTTGAAAAGCATGGGCGACAAAATAGAGCCTTGCGGGACCCCACAGGTCAAAGGCCAGGAGTCTGAGCAGGCGTCCCCCAGCTTCACCATCTGGGTTCGTCCCTCCAGGAAGGACCGGAGCCACGACAAAACCGCGCCCCCGAGGCCCATCCCAGAGAGACGACCCAGAAGGATACCATGATCGATGGTATCGAAAGCCGCTGAGATGTCCAAGAGAACCAACAGAGTCACACTCCCCCTGTCCAGCTCTCTGCGGAGGTCATCCACCAAGGCGACCAGGCTGTCTCGGTGCCATGACCAGGCCTGAAACCAGACTGTGACTGATCTAGGTAGTTGATGTCATCCAAAAAGCCCTGGAGCTGGGAGGCGACCACCCGCTCCAGCACCTTACCCAAAAAAGGGAGGTTGGAGATTGGCCTGTAATTGCTCAGCACCGTGGAGTCAAGGGAAGCCTTTTTGAGGAGTGGACGAACCACAGCCTGTTTCAAATTAGATGGAAAAATCCCTTGCTCCAACGATGCGTTGATAATCAATACAAACCAATCAACCAGCCCCTCCCTGGCTGATTTAATGAGCCAAGATGGGCACGGGTCTAGAGATGAGGTGGTCGCCCTCACAGCCCCAAGAATCTCCTCCACGGTTTCAGGAAGAACAAGCCTAAAAGAATCCCACAAGGTTGGACAAGCAGATGCCTCCGTCACCTCTTCTGGCGCTGCGATGAAATTGGAGTCGAGCTCAAGGCGTATCTGGGCGACTTTACCTGCAAAATGGTGTGCGAAATCGCGACACCGAGCTGCTGGGTCATCAGTGACCTCCTCCACCACAGGTGGGTGGAGGAGTTCTCCCACGACCCGAAACAGCTCCGATGATCTATTTGCTGCAGACGCTATACGGGTGGTCGTGAATGATAATGATAATAGTATTAGTAATATTGCATGTAATATAAATATATAATTATAATATATTATTGGTATTAGTATTATATTGCATTACATTATAATATTATATATATTATATGCATATACAATATATTATATTACATTATATTATATTATTAACATAGCACAGGAGGCATGTTATACATATCTCAGCCTTCTTTTCTTCGGTCTAAACATATTAATTGGATTACTTTTTACTGTGGATTTTTTCTTCTTGCTGTGGCTATGTATATTCCTAAATAAACTGCTTGCTACTATGTATATTTCTAAATAAACTGCTTGCTACTATGTATATTCATAAATAAACTGCTTGCTACTATGTATATTCCTAAATAAACTGATTGCTACAGCTGGTGTGGTGTTTGAAGTCAGAGGCGATTCTGCTCTGGGGGACGACAGCTTCTATCCTCGAAATATGTACTCTCTGCATCTTTAAGTACATATCACAGGGATCTAGACGGCCACTTCCAGTTCAGCCCTGAAACTCTGCCAAGCTGTGAACATTAACCAGCTGGTTCAGCTGTCCAAAGTTGACCTCCCTATCGCTTTAAGTAAAGGTACTCACTAACTTGAAATAGCATCGAAGACCCTTAGTGCTATCAGATGCCTTTTGCATATTAGCAGGACTGCAAGAAAGAAAACGGAAGCCCGAATCACGCACACTTCTATTTAGTTCACATCTTTTAACAAAGCTAGACAATCTCAGTACTCAAACCTGGGATTTCTAAACTTCATAACTCCGGAAATACCTGCAGTGCCAATGCTATTAAAATTCTCCCAGGTAGAGAGCAGGGAAGAGAAAATTGTGCAAAAAAGGAGAGCACATTACACCTGGCTTCGGAAAATAGGCAACGGTATTTGGCCACACAGGTTGCATGGAAAGGCCCAACATAATGTATGGACAGGGCACTTGGGGAGCAAGATACATATAAACAGGAGCACAGCTCACAGAAAGCAATACCCCACAGTCTCCGTTTGAGTGATTTGAGAGCAATGTCGAAACCCAAGTGAGTTAGAAAGGATACGGAAAGGCCGATGGAGGAGGCTTTCTTAGAGTTGATCACAAACCCGCTGCTTATACGCTCATCCTAAGCTAAGTGGTGAATTATTTATTTACGACATTTCTATGCCGCCCTTCTCACCCCGAAGGGGACTCAGAGCAGCTTACAATATATATATATATAGTATATATATATAGTATGGTGGTTGGTTTTTCACAACCATCATGTCAGACTACACAGAGAAGCCATTGAAATCCACAAGAAGCATGCGGACAATTTCAACAGAAAGGAGGAAACCATGAAAATGAACAAAATCTGGCTACCAGTATTAAAAAAACTCTAAAATCACAACAGCAAAACAACAGAGAGGAAACAATCAGGGACATCTAATCACCTCTCAACAAAAGATTGCTCCAGCCACTGCCAGGCCATCAAATGCTAATCAAGGTGGTCAGTTGAAACATTCACAACTAGCTCCAACAGACAAGAGTTCTTTGTCCCACCCTGGTCATTCCACAGATATATAAACCCACTTTCCTAGTTCCAAAAGACCTCACTTCCTCTGAGGATGCTTGCCATAGATGCAGGCGAAACGTCAGGAGGGAATACCTCTGGAACATGGCCTTATAGCCCGAAAAAACCTACAACAACCCAGTGATTCCGGCCATGAAAGCCTTCGACAATACTGTGTTTACGGTTGGTCTATTTTTGATGTTAAGCCACCAATCCAGATGTTGGAAATATACAGCATCTGGGAAGTACATAGTAGAAGGTATGAGTGTGGTAGAGGTTCTTTCTTTGGAGGCTTTTAAACAGAGGCTGGATGGCCATCTGTCGGGGGTGCTTTAAATGTGATTTTCCTGCTTCTTAGCAGAATGGGATTGGACTAGATGGTCCACGAGGTCTCTTCCAACTCTATGATTCCATGATTCTATGAACTGCCCCCCTTTAATAAAGCTAAAATGCAAAAAGACAGAACTATTTACTTGGGCTTTAAGGATAATAAAAGAAATATGAATGGACCAGGACAGACTGTGGTAAAAAAAGCCCCAGATATTGGAAACGTCTGACCTGTTCTAGACTATGCCCATCAAGGGCACAACGGCAAGGGTTTGCCCTCCTTTGTTAACTGAAGCCTGCTTGTAAAATACCAAGGGAGTGAAAAGGAGATCCTTAGGGCGAAAGAGTCCAATGCAAAGGGTAATTGTGTTTTGCCATTTTGCTTGAAAATCAAAAAAGACACAAAAGGGTTTCAGAAGGAATGCAAGTCCAAAGACTGGAGGAAAGAAAGAGTGTTGTTATGATTTTTTTTTAAAAAAGAGGGTTTTCAAGCATGACATAATCTGAAGCATCAGCTGACAAGCAGAAATTATTCCCGCTCAAGGAATAAATGGAGCAGATTAACTCTAAACAAGATGACTGTCCTGCGGTGCTCTCCGTGGCAAACCAAAGCTACAACTCAGTTAAGAGAAGGAGGCAATATTTGAGGGGTAGGTAAAGTGGAGGAGCCCAATTTCACCTTGCTGGGGCAAGTTCATAAGGGAATATTTATTAATATTTACATATCTTTGCCTTGTTTCTATCAGTTTCCATTTGTTGTAGGTTGGGAGAAAATACAGAAATATGACACAGAGAGAGAGAGCAAGAGAGAGGGGATACATCCGATGATGAGATAGATCAGGAATAGGCCAAGTTTCTAACTTGGAGGCCACATGCTAGCATGGAAGGGAAGGAGGAAGGAAAGTGAGAAGGAAGGAAAGACAAAAGAAGGAAGAAGGAAGGAAGGAAGGAAGGAAGGAAGGAAGGAAGGAAGGAAGGAAGGAAGGAAGGAAGGAAAAAGAGGGAGAGAGGGAGGAAAGATGGAAGGAAAGACAAAAGGGTGGAAGGTAAGGATGGAGGGAGAAAGGGGGAGGAAAGGAAGAAGGAAAGAGAGAAGGAAAGACAAAAGGGAGGGAAGGACGAAAGAGTGGAAGGGAAGGATGGAGGAAAGAGAGAAGGAAGAAAGGACAAAGGGGTGGAAGGGAAGGATGGAAAAAGAAAGAGGGAGGGAGGGAAGAATGAAGGAAAGAGGGAAGGCAAGACAAAACGGAAGGAAGGACGAAAGGGTGGAAGGGATGGATGGATAGAAGGGAGAGAGGGAGGGAGGGAGGGAGGAGGGGAAGAGAGAAGGAAGAAAGGACAAAGGGGTGGAAGGGAAGGATGGAAAAAGAAAGAGGGAGGGAAGGATGAAGGAAAGACAAAATGGAAGGAAGGACGAAAGGATGAAAGGGAAGGGTGCATGGAAGGAAGTAAAGGGGGAAGGAAAGAGAGAAGGAAGAAAGGACAAAAGGGTGGAAGGGAATGGAGGGAGGGAGGGAGGGAGGAAGACGGAGGAGAGGGAGAGAGGAAAGAGAGAAGGAAGGAAAGACAAAAGGGAAGAAAGAAGGAAGGAGAGAGAGAAGGAAGGACAAAAGGAGAAGGAAGGGTGGAAGGAGAAAGGGAGGGGAAGGAGGGAAAAGAGGAAGGAAAGACAAAAGGGAGGGAAGGATGAAAGGATGGAAGGGTGCATGGAAGGAAGGGAAGGGAAGGAAAGAGAGAAGGAAAAAGGGACAAAGTGGTGGAAGGGATGGAGGGAGGAAGAGAAGGAAGGAGAAAGGGTGAGAGAGGAGAAAGGAAGGACGGAAGGGTGGAAGGGAGGGAGGGAGGAAGAAGGAGGGGAAGAGGTTGGGGTCACCACAACATGAGGAACTGTATTAAGGGGACGCAGCATTAGGAAGGTTGAGAAACACTGGCTTAGAGGAAGTGAAGAGAGTATTGTTCAATGTTCCCGGTGGGAATAAGAAAAATACTGTCTTGCCTTCCTAATAAACCAGGAGATTAAGACTCATCTTGCACTCAGCCACAGCCACTCCTAAAGGAAGATTTTCCTCCAAGAACAATTCAATAGTAGGAAAATGTTTACTGTTTGAATTCTATTCCGTAGCTGCTTGGGCCAATCCTTCTGTTCTATCGCTTTGCACACACTTGTTCTTCACAGAGAGGATGGAATGTGATCCCATGATGGAAAAATGCACTTAAAGAGCTGATATGGAGCTTTGAGGGCTAAAACCACAATCCATTTTGGGAGTGAGAAGCTGCTTGGAAAAGACACCCAGTTCCCAACTCCAGTTGCAGGAGGAGTTTTGCTACACAAAGCAAGGCAATGCACTCTTACCGAGGTGTGGGACCAATAGGAGTAGTCAAAGCTGAAGGATTTGGGTGGCTCCTTGGGGTTCTTTGGGTTGAGAATACCTAGAGGGAATGGAAAAACACATTCATGACTCAAGAATTCAAGGAAAACGCAGGAGCAAGAATGAGAGAGTGTATCAAAACAAATCCCAACCGTAGCTGCATCCATTCGGGTATTCCTTCTTTTACCAAATTAGCACCCCAGAATATAAGATACACATAAAATAGTATATTATCTACATTTGGGCACATAATCAAACTGGGAAAATGCTAATATTTAACCTTGCTAGGAGCCCCCGGTGGTGCAGCGGGTTAAAACGCTGAGCTGCTAACTGAAAGGTCGGTGGTTTGTATCTGGGGAGCAGGGTGAGCTCCTATTGTTAGCCCCAGCTCCTGCCAACCTAGCAGTTCAAAAATATGCAAATGTGAGTAGATCAATAGGTACCACTCCATCTGGAAGGTAAGGGCGCTCCATGCAATCATGCTGGCCACATGACCTTGGAGGTGTCTAAGGACTTTAATAATAATAAAGTAAAATAATAAATGTAATAATAATAGAGTAAAATAATAAATGTAATAATCATACAGAGAGTAAAAAATAAATGTAATAATCATAAGGTAAGGTAAAGGTTTTCCCCTGACATTAAGTCCAGTTGTGTCCAACACCAGGAGTTGGTGCTCATCTTTCATTTCTAAGCCCAAGAGCCGGCATTGTCCATAGACACCTCCAAGGTTATGTGGCTGGCATGACTGCATGGAGTGCTATTACTTTCCCGCCAGAGCGGTATCTATTGGTCTATTCACATTTGCATGTTTTCGAACTGCTAGGTTGGCAGAAGGTGGGGCTAATAGCGGGAGTTCACTCTGCTCCCCGAATTCGAGCCTGTGACCTATCGGTCAGCAAGTTCAACAGCTCAACGTTTTAACCCACTGTGCCACCAGGAGCTCCTGTAATAATAATAGAGTAAAATAATAATAAATAGAGTAAAATAAATATAATAATAACAATAATAGAGTAAAATAAAAACTGTAATTATAACAATAATAAATAATAAATAATGAATGTAATAATAATAATAATAATAATAATAATAGTAATAATAAATAGAGTAAAATAATAAATGTAATAATAATTTAAAAAGCCGGAAAAAGTTACAGAGGATGAACATGTCAAGCTACACTGGGACTTCCGAATTCAGACAGAGTTTTGGAGCACAATACTCCTGACCTCACAATCGCGTTAAAAAACAAAGTTTGGATTGTTTGTTGATGTTGCAATCCCAGGTGACAACAGGATTGAAGAGAAAAAACTGGAAAAGCTGACACGATATGAGGATTTAAAGATAGAACTGCAAAGACTCTGGCACAAACCAATCAAGGTGATCTCAGTGATGATCAGCACACTGGGTGCAGTGCCTAAAGACCTTGGCCTGCACTTAAACACAATCAGCACTGACAAATTTACCATCTGCCTGTTGCAAAAGGCCACCCTACTGGGATCTGCACGCATTATTCGCTGATACATCATATAGTCCTAGACACTTGGGAAGGGTCTGACGTGTGATCCAACATAACAGCCAGCAGAGTGTCTACTGTGGACTCATCTTGTTGTGTTTCAAATTATTATTATTATTATTATTAGCCAATACATCACACAGTCCTAGACACTTGGGAAGTGTCTGACGTGTGTGATCCAATACAAAAACCAGCAGAGTGTCTTTACGGTATTTGTTCATGTCTCAGACCATCTCAAGCACCAAATCAAAGTTTAAGGATATAAATTCTATAAACCACTGGATCCAGCTTGGAGAAGGAGGGGACCCAAACCTGTTTACATGTGCCAAATTATGAATGTGCTTTCATGCCATAGGCTCACGAGGAAGCAAGCAGGCAGTCTTTGGAAGAGATCAAGGAAAGGGAAGGCAAAAGAAAACACACTTGCAGTGTAAGACATTCACAGCAAGCAGAGAGAGGGAGAGGGAGAGAGAGAGGCATTAAAAATAGGTCATCTCGCCTTTGGACAATTTCTGGATGAGGGGAAGAGGCAAAGAGGAGGTGCTTCCTTTGAACTAAAATTAAACCCCTCCTTCACCCCCACACAAAAGCCAGAGGCACGTCAACCATGAACAGCTCAAGGGCTCCTGGGAATGGCTCAGCGGGCCCATTCAAGCCTATTTTGCGTTACAGTCTAAAGATAAGAAAGCCCCTGGACTACAGATTTGCTTTCAAAAGGCTCCAGAAAAGCCTGGGGGAGGCAGTTAAAAGGACCTGGGAAAGGGCAACATATAAGAAATCTCTCCTATACATAAATATATGACGGGAGCCCACATGGCGAGATCAAGAGAAATGACATCTTAGCTAAGGCAGACAATTCCAAACACTTGCACCTTTGTCTGGAAATCAAATCCTGCTGGGAAAAACCCCCTCTTACTCTCTGTTTATGAGAGTACTAGCTTGGGTACCTGAAATTGAAGAATCAATTTCTTAATTGTATACAATGCATAAGGTTGTGAGTGAACTACAACTCCCATCATGCCAGGTTAACCCCAAGAATCTCCATTAGGACTTTGCTATGTTGGCCAAGTTTGCTCTAGACCCCTTGAAACTCCATCAATCCTTAAATTGTATCAAATGTATAAGGTTGTGCGTGAACTATAACTCCCATCATGCCAGGTTAACCCCCTGAAACTCCATCAATACTTAAAAATTTGTCACGTTGGGCAAGTTTGCTGTAGATGCATCATTTGTGGGGTTCAGTATGCTTTCTGGCTGCAAGGTAACCTACAACTCCCACTACGGTGAGTCAGTCCCCTCAACCCCCTCCAGTAGCTTGAGTCAGTCACGGGGGCTCTGTGTGCCAAGTTTGGTCCAATTCCATCTTTAGTGAAGTTCAGAGTTCTCATTGATTTCAGGTGAACTATACATCCCAGTACGTACAACTCTAAAATGCCGAGGCCAATTCCCCTCAAAATCCACCAGTATTCAAATCTGGGTCTCTCTTTTCTGGGTTGCTGTGAGTTTTCCAGGCTGTCTGGCCATGTTCCAGAAGCATTCTCTCCTGACGTTTTGGCCACATCTATGGCTGGGGCTCTGAGGATGACTGCCAAAGATGTGGGTGAAACGTCAGGAGAGAATGCTTCTGGAACATGACCATGCAGCCCAGAAAAAAAGATCTATTTTCATTCACTGGACAAAATTTGGCACAAATACCCGATACGGCCACATCTGAATACTGGTGGGGTTGGGGGAGGATTGATTTTGTCATGTGGGAGTTGTAGTTGCCGGGATTTATAGTTCACCTATAATCAAAGACCACTCCACCAACGATGGAATCAAACCAAACTTGGCACACAGAACTCCCATGACCATCAGAAAATACTGGAGAGGTTTGGTGGGCATTGACCTTGAGTTTAGAAGTTGTAGTTCACCTACATCCACAGAATGCTGTGAACTCAGAAAATGATGGATCTAGTGATTCCAGCCCAGTGATTCCAGCCATGAAAGCCTTTGAAGACGCTTCTCTTTTCGCTCTCTTCCTTCTGCAAACAGTAACATCCACACACCAGCTTGTTCAAACTCTCCACCAATTTCAGAAAGAGAAAAATGGAAGGTAGGCAAAACAACAGCACCAGTCTATCCAGGCAGACATTGTGCGGAAACAGTTGGGCAAAACGACAACCTTGTGTGACTGATGCTACTGCATGCATCACACTCACAATCCACTATCTCTCCAAACTTCCACCAATGCTATGAAGTTATAAGTTTGGGAATGAGGACAGGAACGGTGCCCCCCGTTTTGGGCACAGACTGACTACAAATAGCAACGGCTGCTATTCCCCCTCTCCGATTCTCTGCTTAATGGATCTGCCTTCTGCTGAGACTCTTAACTTATAAAGGCCGACAAGCAGGCCAAGCCAAAGATTAATATCGCTTACAGGAGGGCAGCATCATACAGGGGAGCAGGCATGCAGATCTGGGTAGCAACCGGAATGTCAACAAAAGCCGGGAAATCAAAATAGAATCGGTGAGCCACGGAAATCTCATCCACTGTAACTGGTAATACACTTTGACCAGCAGTAAAAATGAGAATATAGCAAATTAATCCTTTTTCTAAAAGGTGGGCCACATCCACCATATCTGTTTTTAACCTTTTCCCTTGAGCGGGCCATGAAGTGCAACCACAACGTGATTAAAGAGATGCAGAACAGAAGCAACACGGAATGTTATTAATCAGGAATAGAGAGGTGAATGAGTTGGTTGTCTCAACTGGCAGGGAGGGGAGAGCAGGCATTCACCACGAATGGCAGCGTGGTGTGCATGTGTGGGCGAGGGAGAGCGTGCAAGGCTAGAGAGAGGTTCTCGCCAGTGAGTCCCTTCAAGGCAGGGGAAGTTTGTGTGGGAAGTTTGGTCCAATTCTATTGTTGGTGGGGTCCAGAATGCTCTTCAGTTGTAAGTGAACTAGAAATCCCAGCAACTACAACTCCTAAATGTCAAGGTCTATTTTCCCCAAACTCTACCAGTGTTCACATTTGGGCATATTGAGTATTCGTGCCAAGTTTGGTTCAGATACACCATCGTTTGAGTGCATAGTGATCTCTGCATGTAGGTGAACTACAACTCCCAAATTCAAGGTCAATGCCCAAATTCAAGGTCAACTGCCCTCCAGTATTTTCTGTTGGTCATGTGTGCCAAGTTTGGTTTGATTCCATCATTGGTGGAGTTCAGAATGCTCTTCGATTGTAGGTGAACTATAAATCCCAGCAACTGCAACTCCCAAATGTCAAGGTCTATTTCCCCAAACTCCACCAGTGTTTGGGGAAAGGACGGGGTATAAATGTTCTAAATCAGTGGTTCTCAACCTGTGGGTCCCCAGATGTTTTGGCCTTCAACTCCCAGAAATCCTAACAGCTGGTAAACTGGCTGGGATTTCTGGGAGTTGTAGGCCAAAACACTGGGAACCCACAGGTTGAGAACCACTGATCTAGATCTATATAGTGACTTTAGGAGGCCCTCAAGGACTATCTAGATCTATATAGTGACCTTAAGAGGCCATCAATGACATC